TATTATATTTTATTATATTATATGCATGAGTTAAGTGGGGGGTGGCGGGGGAGGGGGAGGGAGGAAAATAAATTGCATTGACATTTTGTTTTATACTCTCATTAAGGAAATAAATTAAAAAAAAAAAAACGTTATTTTCTTTGCATACGAAAACGATGAGGAAAATTCTCGAACATCATCACTATTTATCGATGGTCGTATAAAAATAAATTTTTTTTTTTTTTTTTCAAAGGTTTTTTCCCTGTCGAAACTTATAAATTAAATATGTGTACGATATAAAATTTAAAAAAAAAAAATAAAAAAAATCTCATTATTTTTATATTTTTTTCACGTTTTTTATTATAATTATTATTATTTTAAAACAGTTTCCGGTTTTTATTTTTTTTTTTTTCATTAATAAATCAAGTACATAGTTCAAGGTGCCTTTAAATATTTGCTTATTTTATTATTATTAATAATAGTAATAATAATAATAATAAACAAGGAAATGTACTGGGTTGATTTTTATGTATTTATCGTGAGAATTTTTTTTTTGTGAATCAAAACATATTCATTAATTACTAAATTTATTATTATTTTATTTCATCCCGAATAAATAAAAATTAAAATGCCCGTCGTCTGCTAATTAGCAAACGACGACAACAACGACTGTTTTTAAAAAATTAATTTTATGTATCACGAATAATTTATGCATTTTTGCAATAGGAAAATTTAATTTGAAAATAATAATAATTTTTTTTATCATGTACGAAAAATAAATAATTAAAAAAAAAAAATCGATATGTCCAAGGTCATCAACTTGCCATTGTCCTATAATAGGGCCAAGGCGTAATTTGGATGTACGATATATATATATATGTAAGATTTTACATCTGACCGGAAGAAAGGACGTTAATAACATAATCATGCCAATTCGATTATGGTATATAGTGACAGGGAGATTAATAATGGGGATACTTTGGGGGGGGGAGGGGAAAAAATTTATTTTTTTTTCCTTATTTTCTCTTTTCTCGTTGTCTTTTTCTTTTTCATTTATACATTCCCTCCAATTTCTCTCTCTCTCTCTCTTTGTATCAGTTAATTACAATCGTTAAAATCTCTAATTCAATTTACCAAAAACAAAATAAAAATCTCTATAATTCATTTTCTTTTTTTTTTTAAATTAAGCACGCGTCACGTGACTTTGTTTACATTTTCAAATTCTCATTAGAATAATTCAACCTCTCGTTTTTTACCGTTGCCAATTTTCCTCCCTATTTCACCTCTTCTCTCCTTCCCCGACACCCTTTCTTTTGCCTCCGCCCCTTTTTTTGTTTCGTGATTGAAATTCGATAAATGATTCTTTCGACACGTTAAAACAGAAAAAAATAATTTGGCAACACGGTATGATAATTTTACGCAATGTCAATTTTCAAATTATTGTTATTATTATTATTATTATTATTATTACATTTTATTTCGTGCAATTGTTGTACCGGTATTTTTCTTTTAACGAATTCGAACGTATATCATTTTAATATTTCGCAATCGTTTTTTTTTTTTTTTTTTTAAATTTATGTTTGCGAATTCAATGATTAGATTAACTACTACTCCCGAAATTTATTCTATCCGTATATTTATTTAAATAATTGTTAAGAATTTTATTACCCGAAGGTAATAAAATTTCGTGACCACTAATTTTTTTTTTTAAATTCAATTTTTATTTTATATTGAATTGAGAATTATCATCGGTCGTATTAAAACAAAAAATTAACGGTTTTGATTTTTCGCTCGAAAGGGGGAAGGGGGGGGGAAAAACGGTTTTCAGGTTTTTTATTGTATAGCGGCACGCATGAAAGTAAATTAATAAACCGGTAAAAAAAAATAAATATAAAAAAACTTACCGTGGGAGTTTTTTCTTATTATCGAAAGTTGTCGCTTACAACGAAGAATAATTAATTTATTAAAAAAAAAAAAAAACTCGTCTGCAAAATTATTTCAATGATAAATACATAAATTCCTAACGTCTTTTGTCGAACATTCTAACCGTTTTTTTGTTGCCGTTCGAACTGAAACGAATCTGTTTGAAATTTCACCTTAGATAATCGGTTAATCAAAACAATGACTGAATAAAAAAAAAAAAAAAAAAAAACAAATTTTTTTAATGACTTTATTCAAAATATTATAAAAAAACAAAAATATTAAATGAGTGATAATTAATAATAATAATAATAATAATAATAATAATAATAATTTATTTTTTACAAAGGTAAAGTTCACTTTAGAAAAAAAAGAAAGTTAATGAAAGAGTAATAAAAAAATGGGGATTGGAAAAGTTAAAAATATTTTTAATTATTAAAATAGTAATAAAACTAAATCGTTTTTATTATTATTATTATTTTTTATTATTATTATCTATAAAAAAAAAAAAATTTCAAAAGGAAAAAAAAAGAACAACTCAAAAACTTACGTAGTAGTCATTTCGTAAGTTGCATCCTTTTTGATTGCGAACGAAAAAAAAAAGATAAAAACGGTTTTTTTTATAAAAAAAGAACAAAATTCCACGAATATCCCGGTGTTCGGTTCAAAATCTAACTGTTAATCGGATTGTTTTGTTTTTTAATCATTCGACTAATAAAAAATGAATGTCAAAAACGAAAAAAAGAAAAAAAAAATGTGAAAGTGATAAGAAATAAAAAAAAAAAGATGCAACAAGGAGAATATCTCCATAAATCAAACATGGCGGAAGTGTCGGTGAAACCGTTCAAGTTCGTCCAATGGCGACACGGGGCAATCGTATGAAAGAGAAATTATTTTCACTTTCTTGTAACGCTCGTTCTTACCTTATTTATTTAATTTTTCTTTTCTTCTTTCTTTCTTTTTTTTTCGTCGTAATAAAGTTAATCGTGATTCGTATTACTACTTTGTTTCATTATATTTTTTTTTTTTCTAAACGTCTACCGTGCGGTTTTTTTTTAAATTAAAAAATTCACTTCGATTTTTTTTTTTTTAATTCGATACAGAATCGTATCATCGATCGATCGATATATCGCGAATCGTTTTCGAAAAAAAAACCGTTAAAAAAATTTTTAATTTTGTGTCTTTTATAATAACAATCGATTTGAAAAAGGTAAGAAATTATTATTATTATTTTTTTTTTTATTAAAGCTCTCCGATTTGCATTTTTTTTTCTTCTGGTTCCACGTCAAAAAAAAAAAAAAAATAGAAAGTTTTAGTGAGACAAAGCTATCGATCGATTTATATAAATAAAATTTTATTTATTTATTTATTTATTTCCCCGACAATAATAATAATAATAATAATCGAATTCATTAATTAAAAAAAAAAAAAAAATCACGTTTTATCATTCGGGATCATCATCATCATCATCGCGTTTGTTGTCAGTCATTAGTAATAAGAACAAACAAACAAACAAACAAACAAACAAAAATTTCGCAACGTTTTTCTAAAGGATAAAAAAAAAGGTCAAAATAAAAGTTTTTTTAATGAGACCGCCGATAAACGTTTGAAATTTTTTTTTTATAGTTAAACAACCGATTATTATTATTATCATTATTATTAAGGATTCTCGTGTGTGTGTGTGTGTGCCTGCGTACCTGAGAAAGTGATTGATTGGAAATTTCAAGTGTCAAGGGCAAAACCTTATAAAAAAATTTACTTTTGTAACAACGACAACTTTTACATTTGTTTTATCCACCTCCAGGTTTATTAATTTTGGTTTTAAACTTTACAGAAATGCAGTAAAATATTTATAAAAAAAAAAAAAAACTAATAATAATAATAATAATAATAATAATAATAATAATAATAATAAAATGAAAAAAGAAGATTCGAACGTGGTATCACATCTCGTTGGTGATTTTGGAAAATGGCAGGCAACGATAAGTTTTCTTCTATCGCTTTTAAAACTTCCCATCGGTTGGTTTCAATTGAGTATCGTTTTTCTCGCACCTGTTACAAATTTTTGGTGCGCAGTACCGAAGGAAGGAAATTCATGGTTCGCGGATATGTCTCCGACGGAAAGAATAAATTATACGATGAATAATTGTGACGTTGAATGTTCCGAATATGCTTTCAACACGACAGTTTTTAAAAGCACGATCATATCAGAGGTGAATAAATTTCCCCCCCCCTTACCCCACCCACCTCCCCCTCCCGAAAAGTTTTCCAGAAGGGTAATAACCGTTACATTTTTTGTTTTTCCAGTGGTTATTGATATGCGACAGAGAACAATTATCAAATGTTGTTCAAATGACTTTTATGTTGGGTGTTTTAATTGGAAATGTTATTTTTGGTATAACATCCGATAGGTAGGTTGTTTTTATCATCATCATTATCATCATCACAAATCCCAACTTTTATTTTAACAATCGACCGACAAATTATTTTCAGGTACGGTAGAAAAATTCCATTAATGATAGCAATAGCTGTGCAAAGCGCAACGAGTTTACTAACGGCATTCGTACCTTGGTTTTTAGGATTTTTATTATTAAGATTCCTTCTAGCAATATCAACCGGAGGAATAATGGTTACTAGTTTTGTATTGTGTAAGTTTATATTAATATCTAATAAAATAAAAGGAAAACAAATGATTCAAAAATTTCCCCCCCCCCTCCCCCGTAGGTATAGAAATGGTCGGTGGAAAATGGAGGACATCAATACCAATATTATATCAAATACCATTCGGTTTAGCAAATTCCATAATGGCGATAATGGCATATTTTTTAAGAGACTGGAGAAATTTAACTTTTACCATGTCGCTCATATCATTGAGTTTCATGTCCTACTGGTGGTAAGAATTTTGGTATAAACATGCGACGAAGAAATGGTTGTTCGATAGTAATGGAAGATGGTTTTCAGGTTGATACCCGAATCACCAAGATGGTTATTGGCAATGGGAGAAAATGAAAAAGCAGCCGACATACTCAACAAAGCGGGAAAAGTTAACGGTTTGAAGTCGAAGGATTTCTACACGGTATTAACATCTTTTAAAGGTTCTTCGGGAGTGAAAGAAGGAGAAGAACCTTCAACGAAATCTCCACCTTTTTTTAAATTATTTCAAACGAAAAGGTTGAGGAGGACGACGTTGTCGTTATTTTTCAATTGGTTCGTCGCAGGTTTGAGCGTTTTCGGTTTTTCACAATACATAAGTTTTATTGGTAAAAACGATGACGTTTTCGTACATTTCACAATCGGTGGTTTGGTAACCATACCTGGAACTCTTTTATGTATATTTTTCGTTAATAAATTCGGGAGAAAGAAAACAATCATTTCATCTTGCGTTATTTACGGATTTAGTTGCATGATGGTTGCGACCGTTCCCTCGGGAGCTTATTCCCACGATTGGCCTAAAATATTTTTTGCGGGCATATCATTGACGGCCATGTCAATAGCTTTTCCAGCACTTTATTTATACGCTGGAGAATTATTACCAACGGTTGCTAGAAATGGAGGATTGGGTGTGTCATCCATGTTTGCAAGAATCGGATCAATGGTTGCACCTTTTGTACTTTCCACGGTACCTCCACGTAACACTTTTTTGTTTTATTCGTTGCTAAATTTTTTTAATAAATATTTATTTTGATTATTTGTCTCCCCTTACAGAGAAATTGGAACGAACACGCGCCATTAATTATTTTAGGTAGTTTGCCTTTCATCGCCGTTTTTTTATTAATTTCCCTACCGGAAACTAAAAATCAAACTTTACCGGATACAATTGAAGATGGTGAAAATTTTGGAAAGTAAGTTAATCATCTCTAAATTTTTAAATTTAAATTTAAATTTTAGTATCAAACGTGTTTATTTACTACTTATAGGAAAATTAAAAATGGCGACGACGTTGAAAATTCAAATGGAAAATTTTAAAACTATTATTTATTTATATTGAGTTAATCGTTAAGGAGGAAAAAGAAAATAGGGACTAAAAATTTCGTCTGCTACTAAGAAGTCACAATTTTTTCACAAAAAAAAAAGAAAATTTCATAAATTATTGTTTTTTATTTTTATATAAAAATAAAATATTATTGTTATTAAATAAAATGTCGAGTAAAAAGTCTTTCATTTGTTTATTTATTTTGTTTAATTCTACTTTTTGAATAGAAAATTATTTGGGGGTCTAAACACCTGAAAATATGATTTCGATGATAATAATAATAGGGTTTCGATAACCTGTAGGTAGTAGGTGAGGTGAAAAAAAAAACCATAGACGCAAGAAGTTTAAATCCTGAATCGTAACCTACTTATACCTTCCAGTAAATAATTAATTATTCAATATGAATCAGGTATTTTTTCCAGACGGAGGAAAAGCCCAAAGTTTTTGTCGATTGTGTAACGACTTTTTTGTCAACTTTTTTTTTTTTTTCAATTGGTGCTTCATAAAAAAATCCGAATTCGAAATTGCTAATTTGTTTGTCGCCTTCATTTCTATTGACACGAGATACATATTCGTGAAATGAATGCATAAATCGATGACGTGTGAACAATAAAATAATTTTAAATATATATATATATAGATATAAATCGTAGGCATAAAAAAAAAAATAACGCACGATTCAATTTAATCTTATTATTTATTCCACGATCGGGTAATCGATTTGAAAATGAAAATGAAAACCAACCATCCACACATAAACGAATTAAAAAGGGAAAGCGTTTGTTTTTTTTTTCTTTTCTTTTGTTTTTATATTAAAATTTCATATAAAACAAGATATAAAACTGGTATATTTAGTTTACGACGAGTCAAAATCAAAGAAATCGCATTAAATTAAAAAAAAAAAAAGAAATTAAATGTAATTTTCTCAATCATCCGTAAATAAAAAAAAGTAAACAAAAAAATAATAACGATCACCGCCTTCTTTGAATTTAAAACTTTATTGAAATTTTTCAAACCCTGATTTAATTAATCAGTTACAAAGATCAGTTCTTAGAATTGATTCGTTCGAAATTCGTTATTTTTATTTTAAAATAAATATAATAAATTTCATGTAGAAAAAGAAGAATTTTAATAAGTGTTGTTTTTTAATTTGTTTGATATTTGATTGTAGTTAATTTAAAATAATTAAAAGATAAGATAATTAATTTACTTTTCCAAGAAATAAATACATTTAATTGTTTGCATTAAAAAAAAAATGTCTAATAAGCATTTGATTAATTCTGTAAATGATTGCGTTCGGGAAAGCATGTACGGTTTTGCCAAATTAAATAAAAATATATCCGTAGATTTTGATAATAATATTGTTTTAAACATGGTAAGCTTAAATTTCAATAAAAAAAAAACTTAAAATAACAATTAAATGAAATATTTTACCCCTCCTTTCCCCTCGTTTAGCGTCTATGCATTTTGGTTTCTAATTTTGCTTTCTAGAAAATTCTTTATATCTTATCTTAAATAAATTTTTTTTTTGTAATGCTTAGGTATTATTATCTAATAAAAAAAACATACGTCGTCAGTTTTTTTATTGTGATAAAATCATTTTATTATGTTTTAGAATGTAGAAAAAAATATGAATAAAATATGTTTAATATCAGGAGGTGGTTCAGGACATGAACCTTTTCCAGCAGGTTATTAAAAAATAATTTATGTAATTTATTATTTAAATTTGTATTCGATAATAAATTAAAATTGAATTGGTGTTTATTTTTTTTAGGTTACGTAGGTACGGGAATGTTAACGGCATCAATTTCTGGTTCAATTTTTGCTTCTCCGCCATCTTTAAATATTTTAAAAGCTATACGTTGGGCTTCGAAAAGATTCGATGAAATTTTATTGATTGTACCAAATTACACGGGAGACGTTTTAAATTTTGGTCTTGCTGTAGAAAATGCAAATTATTATGGTATTCCGGTAAGGGAAAAATGATTGGATTGATTGATTGATTGAAAACAAATTTTTTTACGCGCCATCTTGTTTATTGTTTATACAGGTAAAAAGTTTCGTCGTGGGAGAAGACGTTGCACAAGAAGTTTTCGGTGTTAAAAATAAAACAGGTAAAAGAGGAACTTGCGGTTTGATTTTTATAATTAAAATAGCAGGTTACATGATAGAGAAAGAATACGAAATGAATTCGATAATAAAACATTTAAATGAAATATTAAATTCAATGGCAACAATGGGATTATGTTTGTCATCTTGCAGCAAACCTGGAACCGGAATACTTTTTCACTTGGACGAAAACGAATTGGAATTAGGAGTGGGAGTTCATGGAGAAAAAGGCGTGAAAAGGTTAAAACGATTGACGGCAAAAGAAGGAGTTGAAGAAATATTAAAACGTTTAATCGATTATTTGAATTTGAAAGATGGAGACGAAGTCATCGTCATGATAAATAATTTGGGATCGGTTACACATCTTGAAATTTGGTTGTTGGTAGGAGAAGTGGAAAAACAACTCGAACGATTACGAATAAAAATCATTAAAATTTATTCGGGTTTTTTTTTCACGTCTTTAAACATGAACGGATTTCAAATATGTTTGTTGAAAATGGACGAAAAATATAAAAATTTATGTTTGGATGCATTAAATCATCCGACTAATGCTTCCGCTTGGTCTAACAACATAATAATCGATTCGAAAATTGTTGAAGATGTTGAGGATGTCGAAGAGTTGGAAGATGAAGACATAAATCGATTTGACGATTCGATTCGAGTTTTATCGAAGGAAACCGTTGAAATTTTAAAAGAATGTTTTATCGATATATCGAACGAATTAATCAAAGAAGAAAATTATTTAAATCAATTGGATGGTTATTGCGGTGATGGTGATTGTGGAAGCACATTTAAATCATTAGCATCTGGAATACTTGAAAAAATTATGAAAAACGAATTGAATTTTTCTAATCCGGAAAATTTATTCACGCAATTGTCTTTGATTGTACAAAAAAATGTCGGTGGAACAACGGGTGCACTTTACGGTTTATTTTTCAAAGGTATCAGTCAAGAATTAAAAGAACAACAAATGGAAGACTATGAGAATTTATCGATTGTAGTAGCTAAAGCCTGGAGAAGAGGAATCGAAACGATTAAAAGATACAGCACAGCGAGGATAGGAGATAAAACGATGGTAATCCCAACTCGTACCCAAACGGTCATGCTATACAGCATCTCATCATTGATGAGGACAAATTATTGGTAATAAATGAATAATTTTATATTTTAGCTTGATGGATTGGAAACTGCTTGCGAGAAATTTGAAAAAGAAGTAAAGAAACCATTTTGTAACATGATGAAAGCATTCGAAGGAGCCACTTTGGCATCGGAAAATGCATGCGAAAGAACAAAACAATTGAGTGCCACGTAAAATTGAAAAAAAAAAAAAAAACATTTAATTTTTAATTTTTTTGTTGTTGTTGGTATCATTGATTGTTTTTTATTTTGACAGTGCTGGAAGAGCAAGTTACATCGATCCATTAAAACAAAATACAATAGATCCAGGAACTTATGCTGTTAAAATCTGGATGATGGCTATATTAAACGTTTTAAAAAAAAAAATTTTCCCAACTGAATAATAATTAATTATATTTTAATGTGAAACACATAACAAGGTTTATGTTTTTTTTTTTTTACACACAGTATTATCAAGTAAGTTCATGTTCGTTGAATTTTTTAGGTTTTTTTTTTTTTAGTTACAATGAAAAATAATTTTTCTAATATTAAAATAATAATTCCTAGGATGATGCCAATGACGAATAAATAAATAACGGAACTTATGTCTGATATAGTGACACGTAACCAAGAAGATTTAATTTTTGGTATAGATGGAGGCCAATTATTTAAATATATTCTATGTATGATACCTTCATTTTTCATTCGAGTCAAACTGTAAAAAAGAAAAACAAATTATGATGGCGACAACGATTGATTGATTGATTGATTAATAAATAATTTTTTGTAAATAATAACTCACTGTATAGATATTAATTTTTTATAAGGGCTTCCCTTTTTAAAACCTATGCTCAAATATTCCGTTAAAAACGAACCGCGTAACGGTATTATATTATTTTTACAATATTTCGATACAAATTTCATCTCGTGAAGGATTTTAGGTAAATCGTAAATGAATAAATAAAATTCATCCCTGCATAATTTTTGTAAACATTCCCGTGACGACATATATCGATCCCGGATCAAATTTGATTTTTTTAATTTTTCTTCGAGTTTCGATTCTTTCCATTCGAACGATGTTAAATTTAAAAAATTCTAAAAATATGTCAACGAATTTTTTTATCGGATTATTATTTCATAATAATGACGTCACACACGTACCTCGATATTTAAATCGGATGGTAATGCAAAATCGTATCTCTTATCATTTATCAATTTATTCAATGCGTTCAGGTTCGAATCAGGTTTTGGTATTGTTAGTAGAGAAAATAAAGCGGCGGAAAAGGCGGATGTTAAAACCAAAGCCGTTAAATAAATTGATAAGAAAAAAAGACGACAGGAATAAGATTTTGGTGTTAAATCCGAACCTGAAAAAAAAAAAAAAAGCGAAATTGAATTTTTTTATAAATTGATTGCGGCGGTTATTATTATTATTATTATTATTGTACCTTGAGCACAAACGGCACGAAAAACGACCAATAGTGATTCGTAAAAAGTAAATGAAAAAAAATTTTCCCGAGTTTCGGACGTTTGAAATTTCCAAGCGAACCTGTATAAGACGGTTAAAATTAACGATGAGGAAAATAACCAAATGAGATTAACGATCCAGGTATCGATGCTAAAAGGTTTTAAATAACTATTCCATTCTAATCGACTTCCGTGCCTGTGTCCAAAAGCAAAAAACCTGTACGGAAGAAGAGGAAACTTAATTCGCGAATTAGAAAAAAATTTTCCGAATAATTTTCACTTACTCTGATTTGATTATCGGTTGACTAAAATCCATAAAATTAATATCATTATTATTATATGTAAATTTTCCCAATGCAAAATCGCAACCATTTTGTAAAAATGCATTTTTTACCACCATCGTTTTCTCTTCAAAATATTCTTCCGGAAAATGAGTTCTTGTAACAACAGCAACAGCAACAGCATTAAACAAAAAAAAATTTGTAAATAATAATAATAATAATAATAATAATAATATTAAATTATAAAACTTTGCGTGACGTTCACGTCATTAAATAAAGAGATTGAATTGGATTGGGAAAATTTTTTATTTGAATAAAAATTTATTATTCGTTTACCAAATAATTATCGAAGCCATTTTTTTTTTTTTTTTATTTGATATAATTAATAATAATAATAATAATAATAAAACTTACTTAAAATTTAATCTTTTTTCAAGTTCTTTCCATATTTCGTAAAAAAAACCTTTAAAATGATTCGTGCCATTTTTATGACGTATGATTTCGACAATCGGCGGATTCTATAATTTTATTTTATTTATTTATTAATTAATAATAAATCATTTCCGGTTTGTGATATAAACTTACGTTTCGAATGAGTGAATTAAAAATATGCCCTTTTAAATTATTTCTCCTTTCGTAAAAAGGTTTGTTGATTAAAACGAGACCGAAATTATCCGTCCAATTACCCAAATTAAAAATTTCAATTTTCGACGCCATTTTTATTTTATAGATTTCCGTTATTTTATAAAAATTTTCTTTTTTTTCAATCAATATAAATTCGCAATTGAATGGAATGTAAAAATTATTAAAATTTTCAAACCCATAATTTGATTTTATTAATATAATTAACCACGTGACTATGCATAAATTTTTATTTTCCGACTCATCGAATAACTGTAATAATAATAATAATAATAATAATAATAATCGTTAGGTAAAATTTATTTATTTATTTAATTAAATTAATTAATTAAATACCTTTTTTAATATATTTATATCATCATCATTATTTATTTTAATAACAATCATTGTTTTATAATAACCGTTAACACCGTTTAATAAATTTTTATTTAAATATTCATCGATTTGATTATAATTAAAATATGATTTCATTACGTCATCATTTGCTTCGTAATATTTATTTAAATAATAATAATAATTATCACTTTCGTTATTTTTATTTATTATTAAATAATTTATTCCATATTTTTTTGACAGAGATGATGTTATCCTTATTTCTCTATCAATAACACTCATTTCCGGTTTTACTAATGTTATTTTTAATATAAAAATTATTAATAATTTTAACATCATCATCATCATCATCATCTATATGATTTTATATAATCTATAAATAAAACATAATAATAATAATAATAATAAATGATTTCAATGTTTTTACACCGAACACTCATACAGAACTATTTACAAAAAAATATTCATCCCCCAAAATTTTTTTTACAAAAAAAATATTTTGGAAAGAATTTCCGTTTTTTTACCTGCGCACAAATGTCAAATAAAAACTTAATTAAAAAAAAAGGAAAAATTTAATAAAATTACAAACATTATTTGATTGTATGTAATAATTTATTATTATTATTATTATTATTATTAATTAAAAACATTTATAATTGTATTCACAGCACCTTAAAGTTTTTTTCATTATTATTATTATTATTACTTATTAATTTTTGGTTTTTTTGCTTTCTTTTTTGAATTAACTTAATTTAAATTATTTTTAAATATGCATTACCTTATTTTTATATATAATATATATATTTAACTACTATTTATAATATTTAAAAAAAAAAGAATTTTTTTTTTTTGTTTACTAATTACAATGTATAATAATGATTTAACAGATAATAAATTATGATATAATATATATATATATATATATAATAAATAATTAAAAGCACTGTAAGAAATTATGTCAGATTGAATCTTTCGACTTTTCTCATATCATATGCAAAAGTGTAGTAGTAGTAGTAGATGAAAACATATACAAATCGATCAATGTGTGTAATATATTCTTATCGTGCTGAATTTTATGATTTCTTATGGGTAACTAGAAAAAAAAATTTTGGTAAATAAATAAATAAAATACTTTTGAATATGAAGAATAATCAGATTCTTACATTATACAATTGTTATTATCATTAAGGATTAAACTTTTTTCTTTGATGCTTTTGCATTTTTCTCTTTCGATTTAGGTTTTTCACCACCGGAGAAGAAAGAAGTAATAACTTCTGACATTTCTGGCATGTCATATTTCATTGAATTGTTTAATAATTCCATATCCTGAAAAAATATAAAACATAACATTTAAGTTTTGAAAAATAAGTATGGTAAGTTTTATGTTATAAAAAAAAGTTCTTACCCTTCTGGCTTCTGGATCGTTCATGACTTTGGGTATTATCATAATTAATAATAAAGGTAAGACCATCATTAGGACCTGTAATTTAAAATAAATATCAATTTTAATGAGATGATAAAATAATAAATATTACAAAAAATAATTGTTTGAATTGTTACCATCGGGCTGAAAAGAAAGTCTGTAGCTCTCCACTGCTCTCGAACTTGGAAATATTTAAATCTTGCTAATGGTTTCATTTTAAGAGGATAAGGTAGTTGAATGACTTTTGATGTTTGAACAAAATTTACTTTTCTTGCTCTAAATTTTCCTTTAAAATTAATTTCAACTCTAACTGGTTCGAATGAGTAATCAGGATGAACTGCTTCAATTATATATGAACCAGAAGGAACATTACTAATTACAAAATTACCATCTGCCCTAGAATCAAAAATTAAGTATTTAAATAATAAAAAACTCTTATTTGTATTGTACGGGCGCTTAGTTTTCGATCATTATAACAATAAAAAAAATTTTTTTTTTTTTTTTGAATACCTGAGAAATCCTCTGTATTCACCCCCATTACCCATTATTCGTGTTTGTATTTGCCAATCTTCTACGAGGCCATTGCTTAAAATGGGATCCGGAGGATAAACTTTTCCTTCAATTGAATATAATTCTGTACTAGGTTGTAATGATTCGTCTGTTGATGCATTGTCAATCAAAAATATTAAATTAAATGCTATCAAAATCACTTTATTTTTCATTTTTAGGTAAATTTTTACTTTAAGTCGTGGTCCTAGAATAATTTATGCCTCCTATAAATATCATGACCCTGAAGGCAACCATTACTTAGTATGTAGTATTCTGAAAAAATATGAGAATCGTTAATGGAATTTTATAGTAAAATTGAAGTAAATGTTCCAAAAAAATTTATTTTGGCATGTTAGCTTTGCATTTGCCTGTTATATTGAAAAGTTTATTTTGTGTAAATGATCTAGGTGTATTTTATAATGACGGTAAGTCATTATCTTGTTTGACAGCTACCTCGAAATAAGTTGTTTTTTTTTTTTTTTAATTTCAAATTTTACTAATTTTATATGTAGTACTGGTACAATTATTCGTTCAAATATCAGTTATTATAATTTATTTTATTCACGGGCATAACTTTAACTTTAATTTTTATATTTCAGTTAAATTCAATTAAGTCCGATTAGCAAGTTAAAACATATATGTTACCCCTAATATTGAGGTTATAATAAAAAAAAAAAATTACGTTTGTTTTGACAACTATCAACATTGTTTAGGGTGATGACTCATTTAAGTATAGCGGTTAGGTATAGCATATTTTCAAAAATTAGGTATTTTCATTTTTTTTTAATTTTTAACGAATTTAAAAAAAATATATATATATATTTATGATCATTACTTTTTAATACTTAAAAAATTCAAGGACATGCCATTTCATTCAATGTGTATTTCAAAAGTAAAAGTTAAATCATTAAAATGTTTATAATAAAAATTTAACAAAACTTTCTTGAAGTTAATTTAATGCAATTATTTTTTATTTTAACAGTAAAATTTTACTATTTAACAATACAGTATGATTTTTATTTTAAAAGTTGGATTTTATTTTTTCATTACAGTAATTAGTCAAAAGATTTTTTAATGCAATGGCAGAAGAATGTAAAATACCTGTAATACATAGTAGAAGTGCTTCTCAAGCTTCTACAAATTCAACATTATCATCTAGATGTGATGGAGGAGGTGATGCTTCCCAAGTTCTAAACAATGTGCAAATTAGACGTACTTCAAAAATATATGGAACACCTGCTCGAAAAGCCAAAAGAATTCGTTTCTTTAGAAATGGTGACAGGTAAATTATTATACTTATTTACTTTGGTTAATGAATCTTTTCCTAAAAAAAACTTTAATTTTTATTTCTTTTGATTGTCTTTTTTTAAAGATTTTTCAAAGGGGTTGTTATGCCAGTTACTCCAGAGAGATATAGATCTTTTGATAGTTTACTCTCTGATGTCACCCACACACTGAAAGATCATGTAAATTTACCAAATGGTGTGAGAGCTTTATATACATTAGATGGAAATAAGGTGAGCTATTTAAAATAAGTTATTAAGGTAAACTAAAACATAGAAAGTAAATTCTGCAAATCACATTATACATGTATTTTTTATTTTTATATAAATTATTCTTTTTTAAAGATTTCCGATATTGATGACCTAGAAGATGGAAAATGTTATGTTTGTTCTGGACAAGGAGAAACTTTTAAACGTATCGAATATTTGAATTTGTCTTCTAGAAAAGTAAAACCGAGTAAAACATTTGGAGGTAAATTTTTTATTCTTATTTTTATAAGAGTTGAAATTTTATTTTGTGTGATACCTCCTAATTTATAAGTTTACTCTAATGTGATTCTGTGTACCTGATAACCACATCATTTATTTTATTTACAGTTATTACAGGTATACGCCTAGATGTAAATAGTAGTCCAAGAGTTCCCAAAACTCCTTCAGATTTTATAAGGCCAAAAGTTGTGACTTTAGTGCGTAGCGGAACGAGACCTAGAAAAATAATTCGTTTGCTATTAAATAAAAGAAATGCGAGATCTTTTGAACACGCATTATCCAGCATCACGGATGCTGTCAAATTAGATACCGGAGCCGTGCGTAAAGTTTACAATATGGCGGGAAATCAAATATACGCTCTACAACAATTTTTCGAATTTGAATCGGTTTTTTTTGTGTACGGTTCGGAAAGATTCAATCCGGATGATTTACACTTGGATTCTGAAGGTTTTAAATAATTGTAATTTTTGTTAAAAAAAAAAAAAAAAAGTATAATTTACCTTTTTCACCATTAAAAAAAAAAATAAATAATTTTTGTTTTTTTTTTTTTCTCCAGAACATAAAGCAATTCAAGCGCACAAAAAAGGATTTACGAATAGTAGGAGGTCAGGTTTAATGAACGAAGGAAACGGTAAAAAAAAAAAATTTTTTTTGACATGACATAAGCTAATAATAATAATATTGATTCGACATTATTTTATTATTAAAGCTTTAGGAAGCACTCGTAAAATATCAATGAAAAGAGCTTTAAATCAATCCAACGACCAAAGAGACGTAGAACCCATAGTACCATCTCAAATCGGATTAAAATATAAAATCGGTAAAATAATTGGCGATGGAAATTTTGCTGTCGTTCGACGATGCATCGATAGGCAAGTTAAAATCGATGTATGAGTTTATAAGAGGTTTGTTTCGAATTATAACAATTAATAATTTTCTAATTTGATTCGTGTAGATTGTACGGTAAAGAGTATGCCGTGAAAATAATTGACAAATCAAAATGGAAGGGAGAACATCAGATAATCGAAAACGAAGTTGAAATATTGAGAAAAGTTAATCATCCGAACATAATTCAACTTTTGGATGAATACGATGATGCCAACGAACTTTATTTGGTCATGGAATTAGAGGTGATGATCATTTAATTTTATTTATATTATAAACACTTTATTAATTTTTATTAAATTAAAAATTTTTTTTTTTTTTTTTTTTCCGGTGAAAGGAGGGTGACTTGTTCGATGTGATTGCGAGTTCGAAAAAATTTCCCGAAGACGAATCACGATTGATGATTAAACATTTGTCTTCCGCATTGGCATACCTTCACAATCGCCGAATAGTACACAGAGACATAAAACCGGAAAATTTGTTGGTACGATTAGACGAAAATAAAAAAGTTAGGTCGGTTAAATTGGGAGATTTCGGACTCGCACAAGTCGTTACGGAACCCTTGTATTCGGTATGCGGAACGCCGACTTACGTGGCACCAGAAATTTTATCCGAATCGGGATACGAATTAAAGGTCATTACAACAACAAAAAATTGGATTTTCAATTGCAATTTCAATTTACATTTTTATTTACAAATTTTAAATTTGCAATTTTAAGGTTGACGTTTGGGCTGCCGGAGTACTTCTTTACATTCTTTTATGCGGTTACGCACCGTTTAGAACGAGTTCAAACGATCAAGAGGATTTATTCGATAAGATATTAACGGGAGAATTTGAATTTAATTCCCCATATTGGGACGATATATCATCATCGTCAAAAAATCTCATATATAACATGTTGCAAAGGTTTCCGGAAGTTAGGTACTCGGCAGAAAACGTTTTAAATCATCCGTGGCTCTCGGTAGGTGTGTTTATAATAAAACTTTTTACCGGGTTTGATTATTTTAAATTTTTAAATTTTTTTTTTAGGCACACGAAACGGACGATTTAAACGATTGCATATTGGATACGAGAAAACAAACGAGTTCTAACATAAGTTTACCAACATCTAGGTACGCAGAAATCGACAGATCTCAATCTCTCAATTCAAATTGTGGCTCGTAAATCGGATTAGATTTCGGTAAATTAAAATGAGGGGGTGGGAAAAAAAAAAAAACACAAAAAAAAAAAAAAAAAAATTTGTTTAAAATATGATGATGATGATGATGAATAGAAGTAGAAATAATAAATAAATATATATATAATAACACTTACTATATTTAACAAAATGATGTAAAATTAATAATATGCTCAGTATTAAATTTTCCTAACAGCAAAAAAAGAATTTCAAAAGAAAAAATAATAATAATAATAATAATTAATTAATTAGGAAAAATAATATATATATTTTACTAAGTTTTTTTTTTTTTTTTTTTTTTTTTCCTTTTTTTTAAATAAATATTTGTTTACAATGAGATTTTTTAAATTTTTTTTTAAAATAAAATTTTTAATATGGTTTAGAAAGGATATGAGAATGCTAGTGCAGTAAATTAATTTTTTTCTTACATTTATAAAAATCGTGCTTTTTTTTTTAGGAATAATACATTTTTTAATAATATTTTAATAATAACATTTAACAAATTCAATTCAAATTGTACACAATGTAAAAAATTAAATGAAAATAATTGTATCGAGTTTTGTAGATAGATATCATTATTTTTTTATATAAAAAAAATTTTTTTTTTTTTTTACATAATTTTGTATTTTAGCCTTATACGGGGAAATTTCACATTGCGGATTGCGTGTCAAGTGCAATTTAGCAATAGATTTTGTTAAAATTTTTCTTAAAAAAATTAACTAATAAATAAGTAATGAAATTTATCAAAAAAAATAAATAATTATCTTTTTTTTATAAACTGTTTTGTTTTGAAATATAACAAAATCCTAAATTTACCGTTTTTAATAACGTTATATTAAAATAAAAATTAGTCTTTTAAATTTATAGGCTTACTATAAGGTTTAAGGTTTGGCAAGAATAATTTCTTAATAATAAAATATTTTAAAAGGAGGTTTTTCGAAGGAAAAAAGAAATTATTTTTGGATCAGTTACATTTTATTTGCCGCCATTTTAACTGAATTATTAGCAGACGACGCATAATTTTTTTTTTTATCCTACCAAAAATGGCGTCTCTCACACGATTTTCCAGAACAGCTAATTTGTTAAGTAGAAAAACTTTTGAATTCAATAATGTAATTCGTGGTTCTTTTGCAAGAAATTTTGTTTTACCACCTGAAAAACCAAGATCGGCTGCTGTAAGTTTTTTTATTGAATATTTTAAACCATTTTATATGAGTTTTTTTTTTTTTGTCTCCCATAAATTTTCACAAATTTTTTATTATGTTCAAAAATCATGTAAAATTTGAATATTTATAAACTTGAAATTTCCGATTCAATTTTAATTATCTTATTTTAAACCAAATTGGTTATTATAATTACTTGTATAACTAATAATGAGTAAATTTTTGTTATTTATAAAATGGTGTTTAAATGTAGCCAAGATAAATGATTATGTTTACTGTGATTTAAAATTTAATTCACCAACTTGTTTCCTCCTTTTTAACCTAATTGCAAATTTATAATAATAGAGTTAAACAAAACATACAGATATTTAATGTATAAATATTGTCTACTTATTTTCAGGCTACAGGTGCTAGATTTTTATGGATTTGTGCAATTGTGTACGGTCCAGCATTTTATATATGTTATCATATACCAGATTATCAAAATACTAGAAATCTAGAAGAATAGAAAAATGTTATGCCGAATGTAATTTGTTAAATTACATGTTTTCTTATAGTGATAATAATAATAATAATTTGTAGATATGATAATTTAAAATATAAGAAAAAAAAAAAAAAAACTTTCAAAACTTTTTGTCATTCTTTTATTTTCCCTAACAAATTCAATTATTGTGTAAAAACATTCGAGTAACCTCATTTTTGTCATGTGTTTTGTTGATAAATTTTAATTAATGGTATTTTTGCCTTTACAATTTATTATATTAATTTTTTATTGATTTAAATTTTAATTATTATTTTAAATTTAAAAAATTCGCGAATTTTTAGTAAAGTAAAAAGAACAAAACAAAAAAAAACAAAAAAACTAAACAAAAGAAAATCGAATTGATTGATGCCAATCGATTTTGAATTAAAAAGTTTAAAATGAATTTTGTAAAATTATTTAATAAAAAATTATTATTAAATCCTTTAGGGGTTGATGCTAAAAGGCAAACACATTTTTTAATCGCTTGTCGAGAAAAACCATTTACAACTATGGTAAATATTAATATTTATATAATTAAATAAATTATTATTATGGTAGTATAATTAAATAACATCACTAACAATATATTTATATATTTTAAATGCAGGATTACGTTTGTCAAATGACATTTTATTTGGTTTCTATATTTGCTTATCCAATATATGTACTATTCGAGTCAAGGGAATATATACAGAAAAAATGATAAAAAAAATATATATATATATAAAAGCATTTTAAAAGAACAACGTATAATGTCGTTAATAAACTAAATGTAATTGTTATTATTATATTAATTAAAATAAAATTCATCATTTAAAAAACATTATGAATGCATTGATATATTAAATATTTATAAGAAAAATAATTTCATGTATGAAAAATGGCAATTGAAGACAAAAAAGATTTTAAATAAAAAATGATTCGAATTAAACATTTTGAATAATTGAATTGATTTCGTGTTCTTTTATCCAAAGGTAAATAATTTTTTTATATAGTTTACGGCTTTCAATGACCGAAAGGGGATCGATTGGAGTAGTTGCACGCAAATCTAAATGATGGGCAGCTTCTGGTATGAGGACAACTTTTATTGTTTTAGAATTAACTTTTAAAACTCCACCACCTGCCCATGGATCCAATAAACCATTGCTATAAAATAATAGGGAAAAAGTTTTTATTATTACCCAAGGTATAAAGGTTTCACAATAATCATCATCATCATCATTATCATATACCTGAATATAATATTAGAAGCCGTTGATAAATCTTTTCCACCGTAAAGTTTTTCAATTAAATATGGTTTAGGTGTAACTTTCCATTTTTTTTCACATTCATGGGTAAATTTCAATAAATCCCATTCTTGCGGTTCGAACATGTCGGTGTTGCCATTTTGACACATCGGCATTACCATTTCCGTACAAGCCTAAAATAAATTATTTATGCGAATGTCTTAATCCTTTAACAATAAATAAAATAATAAATGGATTAATAACGTACCTGATAATCCCACAAGTCGGCTCCCAAAGATGGCGTACTATCGTCAAAATTTAAACATTTCGATGATCCCGTATAATTAAAATACACCGTAACGCTTTTATAAAGTAAATTTAATAAATCTTTACCCGTTGCCGTTGTATTTTGTAATTTTTTACAAAATTTTCGTATCGGATATCCCGGTAATGGCGTTAAAAAATTCGTTGGATAAGGATAATTAACCATTGCTAAATTATTGTAAACGTCGGATAACCAATTTTTAAGATCCCTCACGTCCGTTGAATTTTTTAACGGTCTACATAATTTCCATTCGTTCGTAATCCATTTTAATCCATCTTCTAAAATTATTTTAATCAAATTAAAAACTTTAATAATGTTTTTCATCTTTTTCTTTTATTAAATACAAACTAACCGTTCGATGTAATATTATTAATAATATTCCAAGATCTTCTTATGTTAAACGAACACGATTTATTTTCAATTTCAAAATCGGAAGTAACTATTCTTGAAAAAACATCGCAAGGTGTTAAACCGGTAAACTGCCATATTGGAGCAGAAGACGCAATCGCTCTAAGGGATTCAATTTTTACATATTTCAAACCGCTTGATACATTATTATATATTTATTAATAAATAAATTTTTTTTGTTACCCCGCCACCATGTGAGGATATTTCATTCTTATATAAGCTGCTAACATTCCTCCATAGGATCCCCCAAAAGCAATGACGGGATTTTTATATGATTTATTATCGTTCCACGTAAGGTGAGCTATTAAATCCACATAATCGGCCAAAGCTTGTTCGGATGTTAAATATCCTAAATATTTTGGATCCTTCGCACCCCCAAAAAAAAGAAAAAATTATTAACATAAGTCGGTGTGGGGGGAGGAGGGGGAGAAGGGAGGGGTGGTATATCTCACAGAAAATGTTTTGTTTCCATAAGGAAGAGATTTTCCATAATAACGATGTTCGGCAAATATTAAAAGAGCATTAAATTTCGGTGCTATTTCCCACATAAATCCCTAAAAAAAAATTTAAAAAAAAAAAAAAAAAGTATTTGTTGTCGTTGTAATTTTCCTCTGGAAAAACATAATAATAATAATAATGATAATAATAACTCACCGTATTTTGTGCAAAAACTTCAATGTCTCCTTCATTTCCGGTATAAAAAAAAATGGGACCCGTTTTATTATTCCAATAAGTATCATTTATTAAATATCGAATATTAAAAGTTTCATTTGTAACAAATGAAAAATGATCCACCTAAATAATAATAATAATAATAATTAATTAATTAATTAAAAGAGATTTTTTTAATTTTATTAAAACTTTATTTATTTAATTATAAATAAAAACCATAAAGTATTAATTAAAAACTTTTATTAAAAAGAAAAAAAGTTTTTTTATTTTAATAAAAAAAAAAAAAAAGGAAAAGAAAATTATTTATTTATTTATTTATTTATGGTTATACATAAAAAAGAAAAAAAATTTTTTTAATATTTTATTAGATAGAAAAAAGTTAATAAAAATTCAAATATATTCATATAAATAAGAAGAAGCAGAAGCAGAAGAAAAAAAAAAATTAATAAATTTATTTATGTGCGTCACACAACAGGCAGGTTTATTATATATTGATTTTATTTTTATTGCAAAATTTAAATAAATAATTTTTTTTTTAAATATTTATTATTATTATTGTTTTCGTTTGACACACACGACACGCGCACGCACACACACACACACAATAGGATTTTATCGTGAATAAATAAAATGATATTAAATTTACATAATTAATAAATAAATAAAAAACAATAAAATTACTATCAACTTACGGACACGGTAAATTTTTTTATTACGTATTCATATCCATTAACAATAGAATAATAATAATAATAATAATAATAATAAATAATAAAATCCTTTCGACATCATGTCAAATCGTAAAATATGTGTGAGTGAGAGAGAGAAAGAGAGAAACACACACAAATTTATTAAGAATTTAAAAAAAAAAAAAATCGACGATTTGTTGTTATAGTTCAAAGGTCAAACTTTGATTAATAATAATAATAATAAATATTTTAATATGTCATCATCGTAACGATTATCAATAATTTATTATTATTATTATTATGGGAGTAAAATTAAGTCTCTATTGAAAAGATGATTAAAATATTTAAGAAAAATTTTTTTTTATTAAATTTTTTCATTCAATCCTCTTCCTCTTTCTTCCCCTCTCTTCTTCTCCTCCTGGTCTCCTCTTTTGGTTAATGAAAAAGGAAAGGAAAAAAAAGGAAAAGAAAAGAAATGAAAGAAAGCCTGTTTAATTTTTTTTTTTTTTTTTATTGTAATTTTTTTTTCTATTTTGTCCCTGGTTTTTTATTTTTTAAACAAAATTTAAAATTTAATCATCATCACAAACCATTAAAGATTGTTATTATTATTATTATTATTATCAATATTATTAATTCACTAAAATTTAATTAAATATCTACATAATTAAAATATAGCTTAAGGATTTTTTTATTATTTATTAATATTAATAGAAAATTTAATAATGACTAAAATATAAGTTTATATATTATTATTATTATTATTATTATTATTATTTTAAATATATAAATATAATTTACCCGTTTGTTTTCATTCTTTGGTTAATAAGATTTTATTTATTTATTTATTTAAAACTAATTTTTTAATAAATACATATATATAAAGTTTTGAACACTTTATTTATTTATTTATTTAAACAAAAGAATTTAGTAAATTTAAAACATAATTATAAAATTATTTTAAATGGAAAAAAAAACATGATTGTTTTATTATTATTATTATTATTATTATTATTATTATTATTATTATTATTATTATTATTATTATTATTATTATTATTATTATTAGTTTTTGTCCGTTACATTTTCTGGAATTTTACTTTTTTAAAAAATTTTTTTTTTTGTAAATCCTTTGAGAATTTCAACGCACAGCATCATCATCATCATCATCACGACTTCCTCTTTTCTATAATTTTTTTTTCCAAATCTCTCTCTCTTTCTCTCTCTTCTTTACATCCCGGGATTTTATTAAAGTTTTATAATTGTTATCATCGTAACGAATAGGGGGAGGGGGAAAAAAGGAAAAAAAGGAAAAAAAGGAAAATTCATTAGTAACTCAATATAACAACATTTATTCATATATAGTCTTCATTAAAAAATTTTTCCTCCTTTTCTTTTACATTTCCCTTTTTCTTTTTCCTTTTTTTTAAAGATAATTTTTGTTAGTTGGTTAATTTATAAGTGAGCAATATCGAAAATTTTGGTTAAACATTAAAAGTACCTATTAAATAATAATAATAATAATAAAAGAAAAAAGAAAAGAAAAGTATACACTATCAGTATACGTTAATTAAAAATACTTATTTGTTTACTAATACAAGTATCATTATTATCATTATTATTTATTTATACAAGACTTTCTATTTAGATTTTATTATTATTATTATTATTATTAATTTAACTTTTTTAATGCTAATTAAATATATATATACGTAAAGTTTTTTTTCTTTCATTTCGGCGTAACAAATTAAAAAAAACATTACTGCACCTGAGATTTATTATCATTATTATTATTATTATTATTATTATTATTATTATTATTATTATTATTATTATTATTATTTAATCACTTTGATATGCAGTAATTTACTATCATTATTATTATCATTATTATCATTAAATTAAATATTTATAAATTTATTAAATTTATTTATTTATTAAAAATAAAATACGTATTCACGAACATCATCGTTTTAATTTGCGTTCGACGTTCATTAATAATAATAATAATTAATAATAATTAATAATAATGATAATAATAATAATAGGCAAATTTGGGGAGATAATTTTGGCCGCAAGTTTTTTTTTTTAAATTTTTATTATTATTATTATTATTATTATTATTAGTTAATAATTAAGCGAGAATTAAAATTTGATTGCATTTGTATCCCTACTTTTACTATTAAGAAAAAAAATAAATAATTAATAAATAAATAATTATGTATATCCTTACGAGATACTTAACGTCTTCTACTTTATTTATAATATGATAATAATAATAAATGAAATTTTAATAATATTAATAACTACATAATTAATGTCGTCGTCGTCGTCGTCGTCGTCGTCGTCGCTATTGCGTTTGTGATATATTTTTTAATTAAGGTAATATGATATTAATTAAGAAAAATTAAATTTTAAAGGGAGGGGAGACAGGGGGAAAGGGGGTACAGGGGGATAGGGAAGACAGGGGGATAGGGGAGACAGGGGGAAAGGGGGGAAGGGGAGGCAAGGGAAAAGGGGGGGGAATTTAATCTCTAACGAAAACAAATTCGTTGTAATGATTCCAACGATTTTCTTCAAAATCGACTCCAGGTTTTAATTCAGCCGTCGTACCTCCAGCCGTTCCAGACCCGCAACTTCCGCATAATTTAAAACCTTGCTCGTGCAACATGTCGAACGCTTGTTCGATGAATGAATGTTTTAAAAAAAATCTCGAGGTGTAACGATCGATGCCCCCGTGATCCGGATCCCGGCTTTCGTTTAAAGTTTCTCCAAAAACATCCCGACATAATGTAACTCGACCGCAAACTAATATCCTTGATAATTTTCGAAATTTGACATCGGATAATCCATCTTTTCCGAAAGCGAAGCTTCCACGATATCCAACCGTTATAAAACCCGAGGGACGTGATTCTTTACCTTTCGTACAATCAGAATATGATAAAATAGCTTCCATCATTGTCGGAAGACGAAAATACGTTGCTTCCTGTACCAAACGTTCTTTTTCTCTAAAACTTTCCGGTAGTACGAGCGAACCATTTCTAAGAAAATCCAAAACGTAACGAAATAAGACTCCATCACGATCTAAAAAGTATTTACCTTTTGCATCTTTCGGTGGGGGCTCTTGTTTTCCGGAAAATATATTCGACAATAAAGAATCCGGTTCTTTTTTTAAAGTCGTTAAGGATGTCGTGTAAAAAACTCCACCGACGTTTAATTCAATAACAGGTGGAAATAAATCCAATCTGTCATCATCCATTTTTATTTATTATTATTTTCCCTTTTTCCCTTTAAAAAACAAAAAAACTTTTTTTTATTTATTTTATTTGAAAACGACTTTTCCGTTTTTCTCCAATTTTTTCAATAATTACACATAATTAAAAACTAACAAAAAAAAAAAAAAAAAAAAAGAAAAATTCTTTTCAAACAACATTTGTGTTGACAGTTGAAGACAATTTTAAAATTTTATCGACGGGAAATTTTTTTTTAATTTTCCCCCGAAAATAACCTTTTAATGATGATGATGATGATGATGATGTGTTCACACACGATATACAATTTTACTTATAAAACACTTTTCACGAGAGAGAAAAAAAAAAAAAATATTTCAGTTAGACATCTTTACGAATCGAAACGTGGTTTGCATTAAATACAATGAAAAAAAAAATTTTCTTTTTTTTTTTTTTTTATATATATATCCGGAAAATTTTTTTCTGGATCAATAGGGAAAGCAGAATTCAGGTGACGCTTGCGTATTTATTTCCTTACTTTTTAATTTACTCGAAATGACAAAATTTCCTACTTCTTCTATTCCTATTTCTACTTCTTTTAAAATATAATAACATTTTAATATTTATTAATAATAATAATAATAATAATAATAATAATAATAAATAATTTTTTTTTTCTGTGTGTTATTTAAACTTTCTCTTAAACGTTTGAATTTTCCACGACAAATGGAAATAAAAGTTCGAATAAATTATTATAATGACAACAAAAATAAATAATAATGATAATTATTAACGATTTTTAACTTTAATAAATTTACTACTCGTGCTAAATAAAAAAAATAAAACGAAATAAAATTAAAAAATTTTTAATTAAAAAAGAAAAATGATTTACAAATTTCACATCCACGAATGTTTCTTCAAAATCACACGCACACCCAAACATTAATTATTTATAAATAAAATATATTATAATATTTAATTAATTAATTAATTATTATTATTATTATTATGGCACTTGATCATTTTTTTTCGAATCTTCAACAACTAAATCCATAAACTGAAAAAAAAAAAAAAAAAGAAAAAGAAAAGGAAACAAATTAATTTATTAATTATTACTATTATTATTATTATTATTAATAAATAATTATTAATGTTTAAACTTGCTTTTATTTGCGGCGGAATGATTTGAACTTTACGAAAATCGAAATAAAAAGTGAAACAAAAACCAGCGTAGGAAAGCATTAATATCCATTCGAAAAACGTACTCGTCAAATGATACCCGTATCCGCCATCTTGTGACGTCCATTTAAGAAAATTATCCCCTGGAAAAACAAACGGGAAATGTTCAATGCGTATGTCGCGTTCAAACGAGTGTGACGTCATAAATTTTAACGTCGATGATGATGATGATGATGATGATGATGATGATGATAATAAAATTACCAGTGAAATTTTCCATCGCAGGTTTGATGGGTCCTAAGAAACAAGCCGTGGAAACAATGGAAGAAATGGTCAATATTGTTCTTATCCAAAATAGTCTCTTGTTTAACGGATCAATTTTATATGTAAATATCGTCTGCAATTTAATTATTAATTTATTAAAATCCTCAAATTTAATTAACTTGAACTTGGTTGCGTACCTGAGTGATAAAATAAAGTATTCCAAATGAAAATCCACCGATGGCACCGGATATGTGAACAACGACTTGACTCGTTTCTTCAAAATTAGCAACAATAATCAAACCGAAACACGACAAATAACCAAAAATGGCGGACATTTTATTAAAAAATGATTTTATGTTAACCGTTTCTTTATATTTAACCAATTCAGATACGATTCTGTATTTCAAATAAATAACTCCTATAACTACAATTAAAAAAAATGAATGAATGAATGGGTACCAGGAGGAGTAAATGATGATGATGATAATGATGATAATTTTTACTCACGTATAAAAGAAAAGGAATTTAATAAAAGGCTAAAAATACAATTTTCCGGTGGTAGTGTACCTGTATCACTTATATAAGGCCAAAGCCACGATACGTGATCGTTACCAACGGCAATACCATACCTGAAAAGGAAAAATTTCTTTAATTGTTTAAATAAATAAATAAATACTCATGGGTAGTAAGTACTCACGTTAATAAAAACGATATGGGTGCACCAATACTTAATACAAATGGTAAATTTCTATAACATTTACATAAATATTTCATTTTTTATTACAAGATTAACACACAAACAAACACAAACACAATCAGTTTATCACTTAAAACAACAACAACAACAACCAAAAAAAAATTCACAAATTGATAATAATATTAATCAAATAATTATTTTAAATAAAAAAAATATCTCATATCTTTTTATCTATCATTTATTATCATTATCAATACCACAACCCAAAATATTTTCATTTCGTTTTGTTTCGTACAGGTACTTAAGGTACGTACAGGTTATTGAAAATAATAAAAAATGTTTTTGTTTATTTTAAATTAAAAAAAAAAAAAAAAAAAAAAAAAAAAGTTTAAGATATGACTTTGATTTGTTTTTTTTTTCTTTGTAAATATTTGATGTGCACACGCACACGCACACGCACTCACGCACTCACGCACTCACGCACTTGTTTCGAAAGTTTTCCCGTTATTCAAATAATTTTTATATTTTTAATGATTTTAATATCAATTCTAAATCTTGAGCTAAATTTTTTGCACTTTTTGCTGAATTTTTTAAACTTTCAACATAATCAAATAAATTTTCCGAATTATTTTCATCCATTTTGGATTTTTCCAGACCACGAGGACAACCACAACAACAACAACAACAACAACAACAATCAGAAGATTTTGTTGATTCAATATCGATTTCAATTGTTTTTTTTTTTTTTTAAATCGTTCAAAAAATAATCATCATTATTTTCTCCACCTCCTTTTTCCCCTTCTTCTTCTTCTTCTTCCCCTTCTCCTCCTTCTTCCCCTTCTTTTGTTTCAAAATCGTTACAAATCGTTAGAAATCGATTTGATTTTTGTAATAAATTCCCATCATCCATATTATTATTATTATTATTATTATTATTATTATTATTATTTAAATAAGAAATTTTATTACATTCTTTGCAATCGTTATCCCATAAATTTTCATCATTTTCCAGAAAATTTTTATTTGTACGAAAACAACAGGAGGAGGAGGAGGAGGAGGAGGAAGATTCGATATAATTATTTTTCGATTGATGATTATCTAATATTTTCCAATAATAATAATAATAATATGAACAAATGAAACAATTATTATTATTATTATTAAAATTTAACGGTGAAAATTTATATGGAAAAATAATTTCTTGAACGTTTTCATTTTCTTCTTCTTCTTCTTCTCTACGAAAATATTTAAACAAATCATTTTTATTTTTTTTAGATTTTAAATAAAAACAAACGTAATCTTTTTCTTCATTACGATAACAATCATCATCATCATCATTATCATCGTGTTCGAAATATTTTTTTAAATTTTTCTTTTTACGCTTTTCTTGACGATTTTCATTCGTATGAAAATTTTCCTCGTACCTCGTATCGCATGATGGAAAATCAGAATAATTTTCATCGGAATCGTAACTTTTCAACGATGATAAATCAATTCTTAAATTCATTTTCCTTTTTTTCTTTTTTTTTTAATTTTCTTAACGGAAAAAAAAAATTTTCTTTCAATTTTCCCAAAAAGAAAACTTTTATTTATTTATTTAATACTAAAAAAAAAAAAAAGAAAGAAAAAAATTTAAATTTTTAAATACAATAATTATTATTAATAAATTTTTACTAAATTATTTTTTGTGAAAAAAAAAAAATTATATCCTCTCTTATTTTTCTATTATTATCATCATCATCATCATCATTATTATTATTATTACTATCATTTTCTTCTGCTAAATAACTTTATATATATATATATATATATAATCTGTTTGATTAATAAAGCACTCGTATAGAAAACAATTTAATACTTTTTTCTTTTTTTCTATCTTATAATATATATTTTAGAAACATTTAATTAAAATATAATAATAATAATAATAATAATAATAAACATATATAATAATATACTTATTTCTAAATTAAAATTTTTTTTTTTTCCACGATTCAAACACTTTTTTTTATAATAATAATAATAATAATTGAAATTTTTTATCCGAACAACAACAACAGCAACAATTTCATTTAAATTTTTTCCTTTTTTTTCCCTTTTACTCCCGAATTATTATTATTATTATCCCGTTAGAAATTTTATAAAAACAAAATATTTTTCTAAACTGTTACCTGATGAATAGACACACACTCTCTATTTTAATTTTCCACATGAAATTTATAATTAACGAAATTCAATGGCGCGGAACGAGTAGTTATAATAAATTTCATCCCCCTAATTTTTTAAACAAACGGTGTTGGGTACCAACTGGTGCAAACATGAGTCAGTCATTCGCCAACCTTTATTATTATTATTATTATTATTATTTTAAAAGTGAATTTCGAAGTTAAATATTATTATTATCAATAATAATAATAATAAATTTCCCATATTGTGAAATGACACAATATTCATATATATATATATACCCTGAATAAATAATACAATTAAATGTTCCCAATTAATTTTATTTTATTAACCTAAGGCACCTCTTTCTATCGACACAATTATTAACTAAAATATTCATTGATTGATTGATTGATTGATTTCATTCTATAATATCAACAATTATCTAGAATTTTAAAAAATAATAATTTTTTTACTTAGTACGTAATATCCGTCAAACAATTTTCTAAAAAAAAAAAAAAAATTATTTAAGGCTTTTCTTATAATATAAAAAATACCTATATTATTATTATTATTATTATTATTATTATTATTATTATTATTATTATTATTATTATTAACTATTTAAAAAAAAAAAAACTTTTTCTTTCTTTCTTTTTTTGTTAATCATTCAATCATCTTCGTCATCATCGCTGTTGGTGTATTTGGGTTGATTTTTCCGCCTTCTGCTACTTCCTCTTCCCTCGTGTTTCGGAGTCGATTTCACGCCTGCAAAAAACATAACAAAAATTATTTACGTCATTCATTTTTCCCCCTTCCCCTTCCCCTCCCCTTCCCCCTATCCCCCCTCCTTCCTACTTTTCTCGTCTTCGCTATCTCCATTTTGTTCCATTCTTTGTCTCGCATTTGTAAATACCGATTGCAAAACGATGGAATCTTCGTGTATGAGCGATGCTTCCTCGTTATATATTTGCGCATTTTTACACATCTGAGTGAAATCCCTTTCCAAATCGTCAAAATCCGAATACTAAAAAAATAAAAAGCATTAAATTTACATTAAATAATCAATTAATCGTTTGTCTTTTTATAAAAAAACCTCTCACCTTTCCTTCATCTATTCTCGCAAATATTTTCTTTATATCCAACGGTTTTTTTATTATATCATAATAATCGGGAAGTTTATTCTTAGATGGTAGCTTCATGAATGGTTCGCTCAATACTCGACCATCACTTTTTAAAAAAAAAAAAAAAAGAAAATACAATGAAAAATATTTTAGGATTAATACCTTAAATTTTAAATCTGTGGTGGTGGGGAGGGTGCGGGGGTGATCGTTATACCTGTCCGTGTACTTCACAACGATGTTTAATAAATTTTTCATGTGTTTTTTCAATTTGGATTCCGCGTTTTGATTTGAATTTGTTTTCTTTTTCTTTGACGTCGAGGGTATCGCGTCGTCGTCGTCATCTTCTCCTCTTCGCTTTCTTTTTCCCTTTTTTCTCCTCGACTTTTTCTCTTCTTCTTCGTCTTCTTCATCGTCATCGAACGCTCCTTCTTCATCTATTGCCTGATATTAATTATAAATACGATCAAAACGAAAGAACATGTGTAGAGACTCTTTTCGATAAATAATAAATAAAATGAATTCAAACCTTTAACCATTCCTTTTCCGTTAAACTGTCCGTGTAATCAACCTCCTTTCTTTTTCTCGTACCTCTTTCCAAAAACTTTTCTTCTTCGTCTTCGTAAGCTAAAACGTCAACCTCTTCATCTTCTTTAACCTATAAATTAAATATATTTATACACCTGATCAATACCTGATCAATATTTTATTCTTGTCGTTTTTTGTCTTTAAAATACTTACGAGCCATTCCGGCAACTCTGATTCTTCAATCAACCTGCTTTTTCTAGCGGTTCCCAATTTGGCATCTTCTCGACGTCTTTCAAGATCCATTTTTTGAAACAAATCAAATTCCGTTTCGTTTCTAGCAATCATTTGATTGACAGTTTCGTCGTCGGGTACTTCGTTCTCTTCTTCATCGTCGGCATCATCTTGATGTAATATGCTTTGCAAAAATTGCTGTCTTTCGCTTCCCGTAGATTTCTGATCGAACATTCCTGCTTGAATGACTTTTTCATCCATGTTTAACTTGTACCGCGCCGCGGCTAAAATTCTTTCTTCCACGGAATTAACAGTTAGCAAACGAAGAACTCTCACTTCGTTTTGTTGACCGATACGATGAGCACGATCTTGTGCTTGCAAGTCCTGTTGCGTAAAACGTAAATGTTAGAAAAACGAGTATCAAAATTACACGTTTGTAAAGAAAAGTTGAGTACTTGATGAGGATTCCAGTCCGAATCGAATATTATCACAGTGTCTGCAGCTTGAAGATTGAGTCCGAGACCTCCCGCTCGAGTACTTAATAAAAATAAAAAGTATTCCGAATCCTTGCTGTTGAATCTCCGAAGGAGTTCACCTCTGTCTTCGGATTTTGTCGCACCGTCCAACCGAAGATAACTGAAATTTCTCCAAGCTAAAAATAAAGTTTATAAAGTTTGATGAATCTTAAACGGTTGAGACAGTTTCATTTTTTTTTTTTAATATTAAATATTCTCACTTAGATAATCTTCCATAATTGTCATCAACTGTGTCATTTGACAAAAGAGTAACACTCTGTGATTGGTCGCTTTCAACTTGGGTAAAATCCTATCCAAAAGTTCAAATTTTCCCGAAGCACGATACAAATCCGGCCTGGAAGTTGAATTAAAAGAATTTCTAACAGGATGTTGCCAAAAAAAAATTTTTTTTTTCAATATTACAGGAATACGTTACCCCGAAACAACACCCGAAGCCGCACCCACGTGATCACAATATTTTTCTTCGATTTGTTGAAATAGAAAAGGATGATTGCACAGTTTTCTCAACTGAACAATCGTGTTCATCAACGCTTTTGCTCCTCCTTTTCCTTTGGCTCCTTTTTCGGATCCATCCGTCAAAAGCACTCCTTTGCTTTGCATGTGCCTGTAATTATATCGATTAAATTTGTTATTTGTTCTCGAATCGTCGTCAAAACAAAAAAAAAAAAAAAAACAAGTAAAAAGCGCCTCTACCTGTATAAAACTCTTTGAAGTCCAGACATGTCGCATTTAATTATGTATTCCACTTTATCAGGCAATTGAGATTCGACTTCTTTTTTCAAACGTCTCAGTAAGAATGGACGTAAAACTTTATGCAGACGTCGAATAATTAAAATTGTTTCTTCTTCGTTCAACTCGACCTACAATTTAAAAATTTTTAATATTCTAATGCGGCAAAAAAGATTTCAGGAATCGTGCAAAAAAAATTAAAAATCGTAAAATTAAACCTTTTCTCCGGTCGTTGCAAATGGAGCGTTAAACCATTGTTCAAAAGTGCTCACGGATTTGAAAATGGAGGGAAGTAAAAAGTTCAATAAAGCCCATAATTCCGGGAGTTTGTTTTGAAGAGGAGTACCCGTTAGTAACAATCTGTGAGGGGCTATGTAATGAGTGTTGAGTACTTGAGTCAATTTACAATGATGATTTTTCATTCTGTGCCCTTCGTCGATGATCATGAATCTCCAATGGAGCTGCATAATGATAATTGAACAAAACAAATTGAATTTTTTTTCTTTATTTATAAATAAAACTACATTTATAAAAAATAATTAAATAATACCTTTGCCAAAACTCCTTTGTCTTTAATTATGTACTCATATGTAGTCAACAAAACGTTGAATTTTTTCGAACGCATTTGATTTTGAATGGATCGTCTCAAATGAGGACTTCCCTTGTAAGCAACGACTACTACAGAAGGAGCCCATTTTTCAAATTCCAGAACCCAATTAGACAAAGTACTGAAAAATTTTTTATTATCATTTTTTAAAATAACAACCAAAATTTTTTTTTTTTTTTTTTGTAAATGAAGAGTATATATGGAAAACTTACGACAGTGGAACGATAATTAAAAATGGTCCCATAACTTTTTTCTTTTCCATGAGATAAGTAATTAAACCAATCGTTTGAATTGTTTTTCCCAAACCCATTTCGTCGGCTAATATTCCATTCAAATTATTGTTAAACAAAGACACCAACCATTCCAATCCCTTTATTTGATACTCTTTGAGTTTTCCATTAACCATTATCGAAGCTTGTTCCACGACAACTTCGTTGATGGTATGAGCAATACTAAAAATAAATTTTAATAAGTTTATAAAACAATATAATAAATACTTATCGGTAAATTTTTGGAAAAGGGTTTTATTACCTGTAATAAGTTTGCTCGTCCGTTTTGTATTCATCATCTTCAACTTTGGCTTTTTTAATAACCGATTTCGCATCAGGATCATCATTTTGCTTGCTAGTGTTTTGTTTAGGTTCGGCGGCGTCCTTATCCTCGTCTTCGTTATCATCATATTCACCTTCGGAATCATCATCCAGCTAGATTTACAAATTAAAAAAGTTATGGTATACATTACAATAATGTTTTAAAACTTTCAGATTATCTTGTCAAACAAATGTAATTATATTTAATATTTTTAAAAATAATACGCACAATTTCCCAACCAGGATGGCTTTCCAACCACGAATCAACTTCACTGGCTAAAGGAGCTTCATCCCCGGTCAGTGTTTTGCCAGTGGAGGTTTCTACGACAGAAACATGTAAATCAGAATTTTGAGATGATTCGTCAACGTCCATACCTTCTCCGTCTCTTCTCTTCTTTTTTCTCGGCTAAAAGGAAAATTTTTTAAAGTTTAACCGTAAAATTTTCCATTTAGTAAAACTATAAATCATTGCCTTATTATTATTATTATTAACCTTTTTCTGAATTTCTTCCTGTTGTTTTCGTTTTTGATCAGCTTTATGCTGTTTGACCATTTCTGTGAGGTTACTAATATACTCATCAGTTTGTGACAAAAGAAAAGCAAGACGTTTATCTTTTTTCTGATCAATCAATTTTCTAAAATACGAATCAATTTTTTTATTAGTGTTTAGAAAATTTGACGTGGTAGGTATTAAAAACAAATTCCATCGGAATTTGTATCATACCTGTATCCTTCCTCATCTTCTGCCATAAGTCTTCTCATACGTTCTTTTTCAATTCTTTCTTGTTCTTTTTTCTGTTCTTTTTCTGCATTTGCATGATAACTTAAAACGGCTTTGTTTAATCTGGCAGTTTTAGCCAAATTGTTGCGATGATATTCTTTAAAATCTTTTGAATGTTGAAGTACAGCTGCCAAGTATTCCTAAACAAAAAAAAACACAATTTTTACAAGAATATTAAATAAAGTATAATATTTAAGAGGTGCAAAATAATTTTACTTGATGTTTTTGTCGTCGTTTGCGTTCAGCTTCAAACTTCTGTTGCTTTTCTAATTTTTCTGTGGCTCTTGCTTCACGCAGCCCTTGACGTTTTGTTCTTTTATATGCTTTTACGTTAAGTGCAGTTTCCAATGTAGAATCGCGTCGAGTGTAAGCAATTACCTAAATATAAAGTTACATGTTATATTTGTATTTGAAAAACGAAATTGAGACTCATTAAAATACTTTATACTTGCCGGTAACTTACGAATAAATAACACTTACTTCACTTTTTAATTGTCTCTGAAAATTGAGTAGTCGCAAAGTACGAAGTTCTATTTCGGCTCGAATTCTAACATCTTCTGCCATGGTTGTCGGCAAATTGCTTAACACTTCAATTCTCATGGCTATTCTCGCCGCCATTCTGAAATCGTAACGTATTTTGTAATTGTTTAACGCAAAAATTTATTATTAATAATACTATTCATCAATATTTTTCGTACCTGTTTTCTCTTTCTTGCAAAATAAGTAAGGGATCAATACCAACAGGTTTAGGCATTGTAGTTACTTTAGTAGGTTTTCCAGGTGGTGGTTGAGGTGGTTGTTGAATAGGAGGTGGCGGAGGAGTGGCACCTAATCGAACAACATTTGGAGCTAAAGCGGCATTAGATGGAGCTAGAGCTGGATTATCTAAAAATAAAATTATTTATTATTTATGAGCATATTAAACAAAGCTAAATAATATTAATCTAAAAATCTAGAAAAATTTAAAAATTTAAAAAGTTTATCAAATATACATACTTATATCTTGTGGTCCAAGTGGGCGAACTCCAGGTACTGAGCCAGACGGAAGAATCGGCTGATGATTAATAGGAAAACCTGGACCACTAGAACTCTGTTGGCTACCTAAAATAAAATTTTATTAAATAAATCCAAATGATAATAAGCTTAGAACAAAATTCATAAAAAATTTTATTCATTACTTAAAGGAGTTTTTCCCTGCACAGCCAATGCAATTTGCTGACTCAAAGGTTGGTTTCTAGCAAGCATTCTGTAAGCCATTATTTGACCTCTTAACTGCATTAATTGATTAGGTGTCAACTGACATTTGACCATGGCTTGTTGCGGTGGAACATTTTGATGAACTGGAATTCCTGGTTGAGGAGCATTTGTGGGGCCAGATAATGCTCCAGCTAAAGTAGTGTTACCGCTACTGTTACCCTAAAATAATAATAATAAAATTACAAATATTTATATAATTAAAATCAATAAAAAATGTAAAACAAAAATAAATTTACCTGAACTGAAGGCTGAGAAACAGTAGGAGCGGGGTGCTGATGTGGGGGGCAATCTGATATAGGAGGATTTTGTCCAATTGACATGGGTCCTGGTGATCCATTAAGCTGAGAGTTTACTGCACTGAATTGATTATTTGAAGTATTTATGGGTGGTATTGCGTTAGTAGTACAAGGCACTGAATTGCCGGGCAATGAAGAAATAGGATTCTGAGGGTGATGTTGAGGAGATCCCAAAGGTGAAGGAACGCGAGTTGTAGGGATAGGAGGTTGTTGCGGCGGTTGCTGTTGCTGCTGAACGACCATGGGTGAAGGAGCTTGCGGAGGGGGCATCGGTGATGGAGGATGTGGAGAAGGACTTGACATATTTTAATGTTTTGAGAATTATAAACAGGAATGCGTTACTTCAAAGTCATTCATATTCTTAAGACGCTAAAAACCGAACAACACTAACGCTTAAAATATTTTTAAAATTTCAAGACGAAAAAACATTAAAAAACAATAATTATAAGAATATAACTTAATTAATTATCGAAACTCTGTATCAAATATTCGATTAACAAAAAAAAAATCAGATCAACGTAATAATGTTTTTTTAACATCTTTCATTTTACACCAAGCTACGTTGCCAAATTGCTTTTTATATTTTTGGCGTGTGAGAATTCAATAATAGAATCGTAAAGAAAAATATTTGAATGTCAGTAGTCTCTTATCGTTATTCACTTCATTTTAAAAATATATTAATTAATTTAAAACTTTTATTTTACAGGCCATTTTAAGAATAAAATTTTCTATAAAAAAATAAGAGTTATTCTTCCATTAATTATCTAGTCGTATTTAAGTACTTTATAAAATATAAATTAAAATTTTCATTTTATTTTCAGAACATTTTTGGAATTTTATTTTGATAATCGTATAGAAATTTTTTTAAAAACAAAAAAATTATAATTTTTTAAAAATAATTTCAATAGTTATAATAATAATACTGTTTTTTATATTTCATTTAAAAAACTTGGACAAAAAAATTTCTTTTGTCACCAAATATAAACTAAAAAATTATTTCTTGTTAAGATATTTCTAAAAGTTTTTATCAAATTTGAATACTTATTGTACACTTGTTCATAACTGATAATAAATAATTTATTTATAAAAAATTGTACAAATTTAATGTATATTGATAGAAAATTAAAAATCATTTAACAATAATTATGTTACAATTTTTATAAAATCAATAAATTTTATAAATATATGATATATCTTTTATATAATATAAATATGATTTTTTACTTAATAAACCAAATATTTTATTCCCATAAGCTTTACCCCTTAATTAGAAGCATATTTAAAAAAATGACACAATAGTCGAAATAAAATCATTATTTAAAAAAATATTATAAAATTAAAAATTGATGAATTCATTTAATGATTTTTTTTTGTTCCATTACTTTTTTGCAAATCATCGCCTGGACATTTAGTTAATCCTAATTTTCTCATCTCGATTGCTATATCAAATAAGTAATCGTAGCATTCGCACCTAAAAAATTTTAGGTTTAACTGTTATGTTAGATAAAAGAAAAGGTAAATGATAATCGAAATTTATGTTTACAAAAAAAACTCACATAGTTTTCGCTTTTTCCCAAGTTTCTCCCCAAACATAAACTCCATGTCTTCGAACTAAAACAGCACATGTGTGAGGATATTTTTCAATGGCTTCAGCTAAACTATCTTTTAAATCTTCTTCCCAACAAGTATTTTCAATAATCGGAACAATAAGCTCTTCTGTATACAAATGATTTCTTTTCAATTTGTCATTCCAAATTCCTTTGATCATTTCCTGATGACTTATTTTAAATTCTTTATCATATAAAAGAGTTACTAAAGCAGCTGATTTCGAATGTGAATGAATGACTGCCCCAGCATTTCTCGCTTTAAAATGAAACAGATTTTTTTTTTTTTTAAAAAGATTTACAACTTTATAAATAAGAAAGATTCATACCTGTATAAGCACACATAAATAAAGGCGTACATTGACTTTTTTTAAATTTTTTTTCTGGAGGAGGTAATTCTAAATCTTCACCTTGAATATTTTGAACAAACAAATCTTGAGGATGAAGTCTTTCCTTTTGTACACCAGAAGGTGTAATGTAAATTTTATTCCTGGAAAAAATAAAATTTATAATATTATTTAAGCCTTGTTTTAATGAACTGAGTAATTTCCTTTAATTGAATATTTCCTTCCCCTCATTTTTAATAAATGAATTGAAATTTCAGCAAAATAAATACTAACTGAAGTTTTATACTAATACCACCACCGGTTCCACTAACCCATCCTAACTCATAAAATTGTTTGCATAGCTTGGGAATCAATTTTCGAGGATGCTCCTAAATAAAATTAAAAAAATATTTGCATAAAAAAAAGACATTAATGAGAATTTTAACAATGAATATCCAATAGAAAATATGAATATTTAAAAATATATATTTTGACCTACCTCAGAGTAATCAACATCTGACGAATTCATGTTTAACTGAATGTTATCTGATTAATAAACAATAAAAGATTAAAACACTTTAAGATAAATATTTTATGCACTTATTTTATCATAAATCAAAAGATTTCACTGATTTTAAAGTCTTGTTTACATCTTCAGAAAAAAAAAAATGTTCAGAAACATTATAGACATGATTTTTCTTCCAATTTTTCAATTTAGAAATAAAGGAAAAAATTTTATGAGGATTACATAAAACAATTATTTAACTATAAATTTTTTTAAAAACGAATTAAAATAAAAACTTTATTAAAAAATAAAAAAACAAAAGAATAATTTCATTTAAAATTAACTTTAATCTGATGAACAAAAAAAAAAAAAATTTATCTCTAAAATAAAAATTCTTAACTTAAAATTTTGTTTTCTTTTTAAAGAATGTCTAAGTAAGTTAAAAAATAAAATAAAATAAAGATAAAATGTTTCTTTTTTTTTTTTTATTAAATATTTTTGGCATTATTTTCTGCCTGGTAAAATATACAAAAATTTACATTTAGTATTATTAAAGGTTGTAAGTGATTCGATTAATAAAAAAATAATTTAATTTATTTTTTGTACACACACACACACAAACACACAAGTTTAATCCGAGTTCATGCAGACATAAAAGAGTCAACACTCGAAACTGAACATTTTCTTCTTTTCACATTTAAAACTGAATTGAAATTTTTTGGCCTCTTGCAAGTTTTTATAATTTTTTGTTTTACTTTTTTCTGTTTTCCAACCAGTGAGGGTGAATCGCATGAATTTCTTTTTCTTTTCGATTGACTCATTAAATCAGGACTTCCTACCTCAATTTTACTCGAATTTAACACTCTGAAAAGAATAATGAACACTTAAACAATTAAATAAAAATTAAATTTAGAAAAAAAAGAAAAAAAACCTCCTACTTTGATGGAGTTGAAACGGTTGAATTATTTAATGACTCCCCACTTTTTAATTTTGTTATCAACATACAATCTGTCGTCAAGGGTTGAGTACTAGATTTTGAAATTTCCAAATTTCCTTCATTGGCCTATTTAAAATAAAAAAAACAGAAACAAAAACATAAATTTTTCATTTCTCAGTAAGACTTTAAGACATTTTAAACAACTCACCAGTTGTAGACATGCAAAAAAATATCTGGGTACGTCTCTTCGACTTTGATTTTCGACCAAATCTTGAAATTTCATTAAAGGACGTTCGCTAGGTTGACATGGAAAACTTTTCATTATTTTACTTGCTAATGATTTCATATTTAATGCTCCTCTCCTTTGCGACAAATTTATTTTATCTGCTATCATTTCAAACCATTTGGCTATTTTAACACCCAATTCTTTATTTTGAGCAAACTAAAAGAAGAAGAAGAAGAAAAAGTTAACCGATAAAAAAATAAAAAACTTATATTTTCCTCATGATGGTTCTTCACTCACACTCGATTTGGCTGCATAATGCTCTTTTAATTCTTCATTTACTAATTTTTGATATTCCGATTCGGCAGCAGACGACACTGGATCAAAATTATTTTCACCAGGATCTAAATGAAAAACCAATAAATGATTACTCGAGAAGTGTGCTTAAAATATAGAAACATGGAATTATATTTTGGAATACCTTCTGTATTTGTGATTGTCGGGTTATTATGATTTTCAGTAACCGGAAATGGCAAATCAAAATCTCCATTATCATTAACATCTTCAGGACAATTATCATCATTATCAACTTGATCATGATTTAGTGCAATATCTTCAAAACCACAATCGTCTTCAGTGGCTAAGAAAAAATTTTCATTAAATAATTTAATTAAATATAAAAAAAATTAAAACTTTAATTTATCTCAATACGAATACTCACAAATTTCTGACAGCCTTATAAAACTTGTTTCGAAACCATCAAAACCCAAAAAATTTTTCAAATCTAAAAAAAAAATTTAAATTCAATTTAAAAAAATTTCATTTTTTCATTTAAATATCGACAATTATTTGTATGGACTTACCTTCAATGTTTTCATTAGGATAAAATGCCCCATTTGTATTTTCTATTTAAAAAAAAAAAATTTCAATTAGTTATTTATTCTGCATAATAATGATTAAAAAAATAAATTGTTATATAAAAACTTACTGCGACAATCGACTTTTTTCAATTGTTCTATAAGTTTCATTTCAGCTTTGTAAGCTGAATAAAGTTCTTCGTCTGGAAGGATACCAAATTGGGATTCCGACAAATTTGGCTGAACATATGGAGTAAAAAATGAATCCAAACATTCATTTTTTTTACCCTGTAAACATTTTTTTCCTTTCTTTTTGTGAACCTAAAATAAATTTTAAACAATCATTAATGGATGCAACATATATATATATATATATATATATATATATATAAAAAGTCAAATTGTTTTTTCACAATGTGATTGAAATAATGAATAAAAACAGAAAAAATTTTTTTAAAAAATATTTTAACTTACTTTTTTGTTTATACACAGTTGACACATCAATTTATTCGTTCTTCCTATTCTCATTTTCTTTGTCGATATAACATCTTGAAATTTCGATGGATTCCATAAAATTTCATCCACATCTACGAGAAAATCTGCCGTTTTACTTTTCCTAGAAAAATCATAAATAGTTATTTCATAAAAAAAAGGGTGGATCACATAAAAGAAATGAGAATGAAATCAAATCGGTAAATTTTCTTACATGGCATTTGGAAATTTTGACACATCCGATTCTTTAGAAATATTTAAATTTTTTTCACAGGTTTCTTCGCCCAAAACAGGTTTGTCATCGATTGTAGGAAGTTTTATACTTGATTCAATTGGTAATTCAATTTGACAATTATTATTATTATTATTTTCTTTATCATTTAAAGAAAAAGAATGTTCTAAATTTCCTGGGATTGCATTATCGTTTACAGAATCATCCAACATGATATTATCATCTGTAAATGCTATCGATTCAAAATTCTCCTTGGAATGATCTGAAAAATTATTAAATAAAAAATATGTAAATAAATGTAAATAAATGTAAGGAAATTGTAAAAACAAATCGAATGCATAACATAATACCTAATGTGTTGTTATTTAAATTAGAAACCAATAAAATATTATTGGTAAGTTTTGCAAATATTTCCTTAACTAATAAACATTCTGTTGTAATTATCCAATCTCTCAGTCTGAAAAATAAAACAAAAAAGGACAATTTTAATTTTTAATTTTAAAAAGTATTTATATAATAAATATAATAGTACATAAAGTGCACATACCTTATAACATCCTTGTCATCAAAACATTTATCCAGACAAACATCTAATTTTTTCTTTTTTTTTTTATTTTTTATAAACATATTCGGTATTTTATCGCATAATTTTAATTTATTTTCGTTTACATTATTATTATTATTACTTTCATTCATATTTTTTCCTATTGTAAGAAATCAAAAAAAATTTTTAAAAAAAAAAGATTATCAAGCAAGTATTTTATGATGGTTACAGTTTAAAAAAACAAACCTAGAAGACCAGTTACATTGTCTATTTCTTGAAAATCATCACATGAGAAAAGAGCATCATTTAATTTTCTTCGTCTTCTATTAAAACCGATTCCTTTACGTTTATCTTCATCATCTTGAATATCATCTGAAACTCCACCATCTAAATCTCCTTCAGTTTCACTATCTAATTTTTTTTTACCACCTTGAAAAGATCTGGAAAAAAAAAAAAAAACAATAAAAATAATTTTTCAGATTAAAACAGAAAAAATTAAAACAAATCTATTAAACGAAAACTAAAATTTTTAATATGATACAATCATTATTGTGTATTTACCCTTTATTTTTCAAAGATTCTAATACATGTTCTAAATTTAACCATAAATTATCCACTTTTACTCCATATACTTTTGCTGATGCTTCAATAATAAGTCCAGCTTTTGCAAAATTTATTATAAATGTTTCATCATCTAAATCGGCTCTTAAAAGCAAATCCTTGTATCGTTCTAAAAACTGCAATTTAAAAAAAAAAAAGAACTATTAAAACTAATTGATAATAACTTTACTATAAATATTATTAAATAGAAAAACAATTTATTATAAATTAAAATAACTTAAAAATACATTACCAAAGAAAGTTCTTTTTCATTTTGAGACCCCTTTTTAACCAAATCTTGAATATCTTTATAAAAATTTTCTTCTTCTAAACTAAATTGAGATGGTAGAATCATTGTTGTTATGGTTTTTTTTAAAATAAAAATCTAAAATTAAAAATTGACATTAAACTTTTAACAAATTAAAAAATAAAATAGTAAAGTCAAAAAAAAAAACAAATTATTTTTTCATTTGCATTAAATATATTTTATACAATTTATAATAAATGCAATAATTAATAAAAAGTGATGACAGCATATTTTTAAAAATTTGTCAATTTTATACCTAAAAATATAAAATTTACACTGATTCTAATAATAAAAAAAAAAAAATTTAATTTCAAATTATAAAAAATGTTTGTTTATTAAGTGATGAAAACAACCAATGCTAAAAATTAAATCTTACTCTAAAGATTACTCTAAAAAAGTTAATAAAATTTACATAATTGATTTTAAAATGTAAAACAAAATTTTATAAATTCAAATAATTAATAATTAACATTAAACAAAATAATAAAAAATTAATTTTATCACACTAAACCTTTAATAAAATGAACAATCTAATTGTCGACCCATTTCACTGAAAACAATGCAACGCATTTTTTTAAGCGGCAAGGTAATACTGTAACGGTTTTATAAAATTTTATTATTTGATTGAAAACTACGTAGGATTGTATATTGTTAAAATTATATTATTTTTGTAAAAAACTATTAAAAAAAGTATTTTAATCAACATTTAAGATGTAAATATCTTGAAAAAATAATAAATATAAAACAATATTTTCTACCATAAATAATTATAAGGGAAATTATTTTCATAGCCTTCTTATAATATTGCCATAGAGTTCAAGTTAAAAAATGAAAAAGGAGAGACAAAAAAAAAATGGCGGGGATTTTCGCAACATTATTAAATTATTAAATAAATATTATCAATAAAAATAAATTATCAGCAGATTATTTTTGAAAATTGTGCTCTGATCAATGTAAAAACAAAAAAAATTATCAAATTTAAACAATTCTAAAAACAATATGATTACTGTCTGAAAATATAAATTTTCAAGTAGTCCTTTTTTTTTTTTACAAGAGCTCTTCTTGAAATTTATTATTTTAAAATAAAATTTAAAAAATTCAATTAATGTCACAGTTGTAGCTTTAAAACAATAATTATACTTAGTTCTACTAATTCTTTTAATTATTAATAATGTTAATTACGGTAATTATATTATTGATATTAAAATATTTAGTTTTAATATTAATAATATAAAAATAAATATGACTAATTATTTTATCATACTATTAATAACAAGAGAATGAAAACAATTTTTCAATGACAAAATGTTTTTTTTTTTTATGTTTACTCTGATAAATAAAATAAAAAATGACAATTAATTCTGATAATTAAATTAAATACAAAATGAACGAATCAATTACCTCAATTTTAAAAATAGTTTTCTGTTTTTTTCAATAATTGGACTGAAATAAAATTATGAAAAATAAGGAATGCAAATTATAAACAACGATAAACTTAAAAAATTTTGTAAATTGTTATATAATAAAAAGAAAATTGTTAAAAAAAAAAAAATACCAATAAATAATTGCACAAACAAATAATTATCATATGTTAATATGGCAAGAATATATATATATATATTATCTCATATTTTTAAAAGTGTAATTTTAAAATTAATGTATAAAACAATATTCTGTAAAATATAAAAAAGAAAAAAAAAATTAAAACAACCATATTAGTCATTAATTAAATATATATCTTAAAGTAAGCATATTACATCTAATAATAATAATATTAATAAATAACTATTATATAATAAGTATATATTTATGTGTGTATAATAAAGGCAAGCATCATTGGTACATATCGAAAAAAAAAAATTTTTGTTATTCATTTTTTAACTTGCCTTTTCCCTTAATTAATATATTTAAAATAAAAAAAACTTAAGAACCGGTTACTACGTATAATTTAGGCAAAAAATAACATTCATTTTTATTTTCTAACTTCAAGTATTTTTTAAAGTAGTTTTTTTGGCAATTAATATCGAAAAATACGGTGATTTAAAGGCAATAAATTCTATTTTTTCACACCAACAAACATCTTGGTAAACATTTTCCTATGCTTTTTAATAATATTAATATATTTTTTTAATAGAAAGCTTCTTGAAATTTTTTATGTTAATTACTTAATTTTAGTCTTATAAATACTAATAATACCCGACATTTTACCATTTTAATATTTAAAAAAATGGTAAAGTGGGAAAATTCGAACACATTAATTTATTATAGTACTTTTTTTATTATTAATATTATTATTCATTTTTATACATTTTTTGTAACGTCAAATATTTCGTTAACTTTTCGTTAAATTCAGTTTAGATTAAATTGGCACCACTGCAATTAAAATACAAAAATTACTAAAATACATTTTGTAAAAAAAACATAAAACTTGGATTTTTTAACAAACAGTTGCAAACATTTCGACAAAACTAACTAATTCATATTAACTGTAAGAAGCTCTGGGGTAATGTTAATTACTGAATGTTGTCTCTAATTACAAATAATAATAAATTTGTGTCATCATCATCATCATCATTTTATAAATTATTTCCTTTTCTTATTTAACTTACAACGTGTGAAACATTTGTAACTTACATATACATCTTGTACAAGGGAATTTTTTGCCTTTCTTAAAAATCTTTAAATTAAAAATTAAAGCCAAGCAGTTGCTAAATGTTTTAAGCCTTATACCTATCGACAAAACGAACTGCACAACATAATATCAAAGAAAGAATAAGCCCTAATATTTCCAATATAGCAATACCAGCAACGATTCCGATAACGATGGGAGAATAACCTTCGATATAATCATATACTTTAGAAACACATCCCTGGAAAAATGCAAAATTTTATCATTACTCCATTTTGTTTCCTATTGAGATTCAGTTTTTTAAAAAAATTATGAAATTTTAAATTACCGTTTCATGTATAATGGGTGATATTGGTAATGTTCCCTTTCCGATTCTTCCAGTTTTACACAAAACGTCATCTTTATCTCCTTTGCAACATGATTCAGGTATTTCAAAGTGTTGTAATACTGAAGAAACAGATAAATCCAATTGTGTTTTTTTGTTGTTGTATTGACTGTTAGCCCAATCCATGGGACCCTTTGCCCCACAACATTTAAGCTAGAATAAAAAATATTTATAAATAAACTTTATATCAGTAATATTTTTTTAATTAATTAAAAATGTAACTCATAAAAAAACTAACTTCTTTTTGAATGGTATCAATTGTAACTGTACGACTATCAATTATCCCATATTCTTCTTCTATGGTTTTTTGAAAACTGACTTCGACTAAATTTTTCAATTCGTTTCGATTCGTGTACGCCCAAGCAAAAGCTGCAATTTCTGCTGCCACAACGACCAAGAGTATACAAAAGAACTGAAAGAAAAACAAAACTTAAATTACAATTTTTTTTTCACAATAAATATTTAACTAACATTTTTATAAAACCATTATGACCTACATTAATGAATAACAAAAAATTAAACAATAGGAATTTAAAACCGTTAAAAATACTTACAGATACTAATAAACACTGAGACTCGTTACATGCTCCACAGCAACCCAATACTCCTACGAGTAATATAAGAATACCTATTGCCAGAAAAACATATATACCAGATTGGAAGTTTTGTTCATCTTGAGTAACTCTTAAATATGCTGAGGAATCAGTAAGAAGCCATATGCAAAGAGCCACAATAGCAAGACCGATAATCTAAATCATGTATTTTAATTAGTTATAATAAAAAAGAGAAAAAAAATTTTTTTAAATTGTCAATTAAATTCAACCTAAATTTTCAATTTGAACATGTAAAAACAAATAAAAAAAATTTATTTAATAGATTTCCCATACATGATTCGAATTTAAATTTTAATAAATTAAAATTATTATTACATAAACAAAAATATTTTAATTAATGTTAACATGAATTTTTATTTTAAAATAATTAACTGTAATAATTAACTCTCTGTAATTGTTTAATTACAAATGAAACGATACATTAAATATATATAATTTTTTAATAAATATAATATAAATATCCTCCAATTAATAAAAATAAAAAGCTGTTTTGAAAAAAATTCTTCTTTAAAGGGATAGAATGTAATTTTTAATAAAAATTTATTGGTTTTATTTACTCTTTTTTTTTTTTTTTTTATTAAAAAAAAAGAAGAGAAAAAAAAATGTGGTACATGATAAATTACACGCCCTTCCGTAAAAAAATATAGCCTACAATAATTTTATTATGAATTAATTGAGCAACGTAACTCTTCGGGCAAATCGTCATAAAAGGCAAAGAAGCCAAAAAAAATATATTGATAGAGTGGGCGGCACTAAGCTTTGTCTTACATAAACAATTATTTTAAAATATTTACCCAAAATATAAGATTTATCACAACAACTAAATACTTTAATATAGAATAACAACTGTTCGAACCCATTTCAACTGTAATAAGTTACGTCTTAAAACTTAAACACGATGAAATTTTAAAAAAAAAAAAAAAAAAAAAAAAAATCCTTTAATTAAGCAGGTCTATTATGCACGCTTTGTCAAATAAATATTACAACTAATGAAAGTGTCTATTGACACGATAAATTCAAATGTGAATTAAATAAATAAAAATTGTTAAATTGTTTTCTTTTTTCTTTTTTTTTCTATAACACGAATAAAATTATCAAACATGGCTTAATAAAAAAAAAAAAAAAGAAACTTTTTATATTATCACTGACGATTTAATTCAAGTTAAAATGTATTTTATTGTTAAAATTATTTGTGTGAGCACCGCCCGCGTTTAAAAAATTTTGTTGTTCTTTAATGCCCACCTATTAAATCATCATTAATTTTATAAAAATTTTTATTTAATTCATTTAAATATATTTTCTATGACGTTTTATTTTACCGATAATTATTTTGATGGTATGAAGAGAAAATAGTTTTTTAAATTGTTTTTTTATCGGTTTTTAAATCCAAAAAAAAATTCATAAAAGACCGGACATTCATTAACTTCAACTAAAGTTCAAATATGAACCAACAATAATTCTTTTTTTTTTAAATTAATTTGAATTTTTTGTTTTAATAAATTTTTCGTTTCAATTATTCTTTTACAGTTCCGAAGTTTAACGAAAACCAAAAAAAATTATTTTCTTTTTCGTTCAATATATTTAATCAATAAATTTTGAGCCATTTGCTGCTGCATAAAATCCTACATAACCGTTAAAAAAATGAAAATTCATGGACAAAAAGAAAAAATTATTTTCCAAAACATAAACTGATAAAAAAAAGTAAAAAAACTATTACTTTAAACAATATCTAAAAGAACCAAAATATAAATTTAATATTAAACGATTGTATAAATAGGATTCAATAAGAGTAAAAATCGCCATATGCAATTTGAATTATATTCAAATTTAATGTAATAAATAATTAAAAAAAAAAAAAAAACATTAATTTTCCGTTTTAAACATGATAAATTTTTAACATCTTGAAAAATAGTAGAATTTACGAAATTTATAATTTGTCATTTCAAAGTATTTAAATTAATTAATATGGTTATTACAATAATTTCACAAAAAATTTAAAATGGGGCAATGTAATACTTTCCTTTTTAAAATGGCCGACTATAAACCTATTTTTGACAAACCCCCCTTAAAACTTTGATAAATGACAAAACTTACTTTAATGTTTCTCTCAACTTTTAGTTTTAACCTGGAAATGATTTTCTTTTCCATTTCAAACTTAAATAAAAAGAATTAGAATGAATGAAGAAGACGTTAAAAAATTATAAATTATTTTCATTAGAAAATGAAATAAATAAAATTAATGTAAAAAAAAAAAAAAAAGTCTAAAAATAAAAACCGAATAAATAAATTAAAACTTAAAAGATTATAAAAAATAACGCAAAATTTTATATCTCAAATAAATAAATAAATAAATAAAAATTCACATTTTCTACCACAATTATTCTATCATTTATGCAAAAAAATGTTCTCTTATATGCCAATTTTCACAAGCGTTGTAGCTTTTCCAGATTTTTTTTTTTACAACAAGAAAGAGTCAGAAAAAAGAGAAATGTAATTTCGAATGTCGTCAAAACTAACAATAACTTATTAATTATAATTATTAATATAATTAATTAAAAAAAAATTTTTTTTTTTTTTTATTTAAATGCATTTACGTCATTCAATTTCACTATTTTTTTTATTATTATTTTAAATATGATAAGTATATTACGTTATTTTTAATTATTAAAAGTATTATTATTATTATTATTATTATTATTATTAAGTGAGAAAATCGTTAATTTCAGATTTGGATAATATTTTGGTAGGTTGCTGCAAATTGGGAGGTGAACTAACAATCGGACTCAATGTTGGCAAAGTCATAGAGTTATTCATCAAACCGTTTTGATTAAATGGCTGATTAATAAAATTTAAATTGCTTTTATTTAAATTACTAGCAGGCGGTGACTGAATTCCTGAAAATTTTAAAAATATATATATATATATATAAAACTTTCTTTTTTTTTTTAAAATCTTGACACGCGGGATAATAATACGAACCCATAAAAGGACCGTTAAATGAATTATTTGACGGTAGCATCCAGGAACCCGAAGACATATTCGGTTGTTGTTGAGTCGATGATTTTAAATTGGGTAATAAAATATTTTTATTCGCCATGTTTGATTGCGGAGTCAAATTAACGGATAATTTCATTTCGTTTAAATTCGATTGCAAAAGAACATCCGTTAAATCCTTGGGTTTGTTTTTAATCGGCTCGTTATTCGCATTCGTGCTCACCAGACTGGGTTGTTTTATAAATTTCCGTAAAGTTTCTTGTTCTTTTACGATTCTATCGAATAGAAAAAAAAAAAAAAAAAAAATTTTGGTTAATTTTCAAGTGTAATACAATTTAAAAAAAAAAAAAACCTTTGTTTAAATACCTTTGTTTATCTTCCAACGTAAGATTACTGGGTGGAGATTGTATTTTACTCTCTTTCGGTTGTTCATCTAACGTTAAAAAAATTGAATCCAAATCACGTTTGGTTTCTGTATTTTTTTGATTGAATAAATTTTCTTGTATGGAATTCGAAGTTGATAAAGAACTGAAATTAAAATTAATTTTTTATCAATTATTACTCCATTATCAATATATATTAAATATAAAAACAAAAAGGAAGACATTTTACCTTGTTTGCTCAGACATGGCGTTCAATTGTTTTATTTTCGATCTATGTTCATTTTCAACTCTGCTAATCATATCTTTCAAAACCGAAAATAACGTGTTGAATTGATTTAACGTCAAACCATTTTCGATTGTTAACGGCATTAAAAATGGTATCACTTTCGTCGCGATCACGTCTTTGGGAATCCCCAACTTTTTATGATTTAACGTTATTTTATAAATACCTGAAAAGTGAAAATTTCGTTTGAAAAATTACATCAAGGAAATTTAAAATATTTTTTTTTTTTTTTTAGGTACGTTTATAATTACCTAATATCCCCATGAGAACCGGCGGATCTCTACTAGGTATTTCTTGTAAAAATGGTAATATTTCATCTAAAACTAACCATTTATCAAGACTATCGAGTAATTTTCCGATGCATACCAAACTGTTTACGCGTACCTGAAATATATTTTAAGTGTTTTTTTTATTATTACATCGACTTCTTCGAAATCACGCCATTCTTTAATATTTTACTACAAAACAAAAAAAAATTTACCGATAAATATGATGTTTTGATACACATTCGTTTAATCCGAGGCAAAACTGCATTTTTCATTGCCGAATAATCTATGAGACCTGAAAATGTTGGTAAAACCGTTAAACACATTTCTTGTATTTGTTGAACGTCCGATTCTAACGCTCTATAAAGCATGGGTAAAACATCCGTTTTGACTTCTTCCGCGGGTGTGAGTTTCAATAATAATTCCATTTTTTGCATAAAAATAAGAAGTATCTGTAATTAGAATAAATTGAAATTTAGTTTTATTGGATGAATACAAGAAAACACTGATAAATTCACTTTACCTGAACAGGTGTAGTCATTTTCATTGCTGATTGCAAATATTGAAATATGTGAGTCATGTACTCTTGCTGAGAGCATGTTTCTGCTACTTGCAACATTGCAGGTAATACAAAAGGTACCATACTTGAATTAGTAAATTCTTTACCTAAACATGGCACGACCCTGCAAAAAAAAAAAAAAAAAAAAAATCTGAGTGATAAAAATGCATTTACCTCATGTGAAAGAATAAAAATGATAATAATTACCTATAGATGCAAACTCTTTGAGGAAAATTTTGTATGATCGGAGGTAATCCTTTGTAAAATTGGGATTTCTGTAGCTTGTCCCATTGAAAAAGGGAATCCAAATAATTTAAAGTTTTAACTCCGACATCTTCAAAAAATTCAACCTGAAATTAATTATATAAGTGATTTTTATCAAATAAATAAATTAAAATATAAATTGTAATTCAATGCAATTAACATGTTGTAAAATAATAGAAATTACTTACTTTTGTAAACTGATGAGCATCAGGTCGTAATTCAGGTGTGGTATGAAGCATAAGTTTTGTAAGATCTTGTAAACCTAAAGGAATGTTACTAAAGGAGTTTTTTTGAATATTTTTTAGCTACAAATAAATATTAAATTTAGCAATAAACTTTTGAAATATTTAAAATAAAAAAAACAAAACAATAATATTATTTAAATTAAAAAATTATGTAGTATCATACATACTTCGGAAATTTTTTTGACATAATAGTTCCAATCACCATTATAAGAAAAAAGAGGTTTTCCATTATTATAAATGGCATATATTAGCATTCCAAATGAAAACATATCACTTGATGATGAAAGATTAGTTGATAATAAGCTACTTTCTGGAGCTAGATAATCCAAGTTTGGTTGAGCTGAATTCGGAAGTATCTGCGAATAATCTATCGAGGGCCAAGATACCTGAAAAAAATGATTGATTTTATTAAAAATTTTGAAACTTATTATTTTGGAAAAAAATCTTGAATTGTATTTTATACTTACTGATCCATCTGCTTTTACATCACCATGCAGACTGAAATCAAAGCCGAAAATTTTCCAAGCACCTTGTTGATTTATTATTATCGATTCAGGTGAAATATTTCTATGAAGTAATTTTACATCCGAATGAAGAAAAGCAAGTCCTTCTGCAACCTAAAACAAGTTTGTATATTTTAAAGTCACTTTAATTATTAAAATAAAATTATTACTAAAAATATGTAATAAAACCATTAAAATCAATTATATGTAAATCGAAAAGCAAAAGACTTAAATTATTGCATTTACTCAAACTTTTAAATAAATAAATTATTTTACCTGTAATAAGCCATATTTTATCTCAATCTCATATAATTTATAATCCTTTATTGATGTAGAAGATGATAAAGATTCAGAATTTTTTAAAACATTACATAAACTTGAAAAAACTGGTTCAGTCGCAAAAGCCAAGCTTTCCCTGGATTCCTCCATTGGATGCTGAACAGTAAGTATCTGAGGATGGCGTAATTTAGTCAACTGTGTAACCCCACTTTTTAATGATTCTAAAATTACATCCTTATTTTCTCTTGGAAATTTATCAAGCAACCTTTTTTCAAATATAAATATTGATGCCTCTTGTTTAGTTGATTTTTTAAAACCTTGAAAAACTTTCCACATGAGGCCTAAAAAAAAAAAATAGGAAACAGATGCTTTTTTTACATCTATTCGATTAAAATCTCAAATAAATTTTTTTAATAACTTAATTACCTGGACCAGCACAACATGTGTGATTAGTAATTTCATACTCTCTAGTTACTGGATTTCCTGGTAAAACTCCAGAAAATTGTGAAACAGTATTAGTTACCGTTGATTTTAATTTATTAAATACATCCATTGTTTATAATATAATAATTTATAAATACTTAAATATAATATTTAATAAAAATTATGAAATTAATTTGTTTCATGACACTTTATCATAAAAAATGTTTATATAAAACACTTTCCTTGATATTATGACTAATTTTTTTTTAATTTTTTTTAAATGCTATGACTTTACACAATTGTGTACTTAACATATTACAATATTTTAATAAATAATATTACATTTAAAACAAAAAAAAAAAAATCTTAAAAAATTAGTTAAAATTAAAAAATTTTTGTACTTAAAAAAGTCTTTGATAAAAAAAAAAAAAAAAAAAAAAATACACAAATAATTTAATAAGGAAAAACAAAAATTTTAATATTAAAATTAAGTTTTCCAAAACGTCAAAAATTAACAGATAACATATTTATTTCAAAAGTAATATATATTTACGACCCGGATTTTATTTGCACATTTTTTAATATAATAGTTTTCATATTTATTTAAAATCGAAAATAAAAACTTATTTTATAATAACTGTGCACACTTTAATAATAAAAACACAAAAATTTAAGATAATATAAGGTATTTTCCAATGCCAATTAATTTTTTGAAGTTTTAAATGAAAATCACTTTTACACAAAGTCGACAAAATTCCCTTAACCAAGTGTCGAATGATTTATCAATATTTTTTTTTTTTTTTAATCTGAGTAACTCTGATCAGGAAATTAAACTATCAAAATTATAATTATTAATTAAAATACAAATTGCAGAAATGAACTTCCCAATTAAATTATTACTTAATAATATTCTACTAAATAAATTTGTCTACTTTGATAATCACAAAATTTTAAAATTTTAATGTAAATTATTTAAATCAGGAAAATGAATAGACTTTTATTTATTAATAAAATTATAATATTTAACAATAATTTTTTTAAATGTTTATTTATATATATATATAGATAGATAGTTTATTCCCTTTATTAAATATTAATTATATTTTAAAACTTAACACATATTTATTTGTCAAAAAAAAAAAACAATTGTTTGGCTATCATTAAAAATTATAATTATTTAATGCAAAATTACATTGATATATAAGTAAAATTAAAATATTTGTGTTTACAGACGTTTGAAAGACTTAAAAAAACTGAATAAAAATTTATTTTTAAACAAAGAGCGATAATAAAAATTTAAACCTTGGTCTCTATGGTTTGAGATATTTGATTTTCATTGCAAGGTTCTAAGTTTTTATTCATGTTTCTGGCTTGTTGAGTTGCCGCTTCAATATGTCTATCCATTTCACACACCAATATGGATCTATACGTTTCGTAGCGCATGACTATTTCTTCCAATTCTTTTCTATACAATCTAGTTAACATTGCATTAAAACAATCCAATTCCGGAAGCCTAAACATTTCCCAACGTAATTTGTGATCGGTTTCCGGGGATGCTCTTGAAAAAACCACAAGCCAGTGTGGAATTTCTTGGCTCAAATAAGGATTGGCTGGTACAAGTACGCTGTGAGGGTGAAAATGCGTGTGATGGGGTAAAATTCTAGGAGGGGGTCTAGGTTGCCGGTAAACATATTGAGGAGCGCAAGGATGTTCGTATTGAGCTTGTCTGGTGACGTGATTAACGTAGTAAGTGCCATATTCCGGTGATTCGATTCTTTCCCAACCGGTTGGCAATCCTTCTTTTTCCAACGGATGACTCCAATGAGTGGTTTTTGTATTATGATCGATGTAATACTTTCTACCACGAAGAGTTAAATCAACAGACCATCCGGGAGGAAGAGGAAGTTCTTCTGCAGAATCGCTTAATCCCCTAGCACCGTCATCTTTTAAAGATTGTAATTCGTGTGTAGAGTGAGAAAGTCCAGGTGGTAAAACTTGGTCTTCGTACATTTGCATTGACGTAATGAGTTGATAATTGTCGACGTGATGAAAGTTACTTTCTTGTTCCTGCTGGTCATATCTCCTTCTGTCGGGAACTTCGCTAACGTTAAGTATATACGACGATCCAGATGTTTGTGGACGATTACATTCTAAATCGTACTGGTTGGGCACATAGTGATTAATGTAGGGATTGCAATTGAAATTCGTACCAACAGCACCGATGGAATTTGAAAAACGGCTTCTTTGTATATCACTACCAGTATTTAAGTTGCTTAATCTTTGAGTTAAATCCGGAAGTGAATTGTTCGGAGTGAATTTACCATTTTTTCCAAATGAAAAACCTCCAGATTGAGAATTCGAGTTAACAATAGCTTGAGTAGATTTCGACGAGGCTGGATGTTGTCCTTTTTTCTTTAAGGGTTCCGTGCTCCATACATTGATTATAGGCAGTTCGGGAGGAGTTTCTTTTTTCATATATTTTCCAACAACGCCTTCTCGTATAGATCTTAATTCCTTATTTTTTTTAGACAACATTATGTGACAAGCCTAAAATAAATTTTCTAATTAATTTAAAATAAAAAAAAAAATAATTTACATTTTTACTCGTCAAAATTTTGACGTCACTAATTTTTTTAACGTAAATCAATAAATAATTACCTTATATTTATAAATTTTTTTTTTTTTTTTGGATCGGTATTAAAAAAATTATTAAGGCTAAAAGCAATTTCAATGCTTTATTTAAGAACAAGTTTCTTTTTTTTTTTTTTTTAAATATAAATTTATAATTTTTTAAATTAAAAAGTCCAGTATTCTATGTAAAATGCTTCTAAAATTGTTTTCAATGGAATCTGATCCGTCTAAATAAGTCACATTTGTACACTTTCTAAGCACTTCATCATAATGAATAAGGTATAATGGCCACACATATTTTTCAAAATATCCAGGCACATCTGGCGGTTTATAAATTCTAGTTTTACGCCTTTCGAAACACAGTGTTTTACTCATCGTAAAATAAAATTTCAAATCGCATAAATCTTGCAATTGATCATCATTAAATATTAAAAATCCTTCAATAAATAATATGTTGGGAACCAACTGAAGCTTTTGAAATTTATTGATTATGCAATAAACAGAAGGTATGACGTCGGTTGAGCAAAATTTCTCTTTAAATTTTATTTCAATTTCTGTTGATTTACACTGAGTAGTGGTTGTGGAATTACTCGATTCTATAACTCCTCTAATTTGATTTTTAAAAGCAGCCATGTCGATGCTAGATAGAATTTCAAAGTTTATATGATTGAGCTCTGGAATTTTAGTATGTTTTTCACTTTTTTCATCGTAAAAGTAATCATCTTGTTGCAACAGTACACTGTTACCAAACAATGAATGAAGTTCCTTTGCAATTGTTGTTTTTCCACTACAAGTAGCCCCGGAAATCCCAATCACAAGCCAATTTTCTCTAGGCATTATTTTTCCTTGTATAAAATAACCACAGTGTAAATTATTAGGCTACCGAGAAAAGCTAGACCGAATAAAGCCGGTATGACAATTGTAAATTTTGGTCCGGGGAAAAATTTCACAATTATATGAGTTGTTTCAAAAAAGGGTAAAGCGATGACACAAAATGTGTACCATATAAAGAATGATATTGCTAATCCTAGTACTATTTTTCCTATCATCCAATTTAGTGTCCCTGTAAACAAACATAAATGAACACCACACACTAAACACCACAAAAAAAAAATAAGAAAAATCACAATCACTTTCACATAAAATAATTAGGAATAATAACACAAAAGAGGATAAAACAAATTGTTTGTTAAGTTTACATCAAACTGGTAATAACTGATAATAAATAAAAATTTAGTAAATATTAATTTGTTGATAATGGATATCATTTTTACATTTTTTTTTTTTTTTCTGATAAAATTCTGAACTTTTAAATAAACTCTTGTTATGTAACTTATTTTTTACATACAACATGACACATTTTATGACCTTTTCAAAACACTTAAACTGATGATTGTCTTCATTTAAAATAATAAAATTCTTAAAAATTATGACATTCTTTTAAAAATAAAATAAAATTTTTTGTACGATCGACTCTTACATAAATTAAAATAACAAGTTCAAAATAAGTATTGAATGGGTAAACCCTAATTAAATTTTGCAATTGTTTAAAAACAAAAATTTAATAAAACAACAAAACTAAAATATTTTTTTATAAACTAAACCACATCATTTTTTGAATTTCTAAAAAAAAATTTTTTCAAATATGTTCGACAACATTATCGTTATCGATTCAACAATTGTTCCATTTTATATGTTATATAAAAATAATTCATCAATCATTAATACTTAATAAAACTTTAAATATTATAAGTTTATTTCAATGGGAAATTATTTAATAATGATGATTTATTAAAAAAAGGTATACATACTTTTTAATATTTTTATAACCAAATCTAAGGAATTGTAATTTCAACTGTTTAAATATTCTCGTTCAAATTCCTCGAAATCTTTTTCTGAAAAAACAGTTGATTCTTCTTCTTTTTCTTTTTTGTTGTTTTCTACATTAGATCTTTTATTTTTCGAGAGAACAATATGATTTTGTAATACCTAAAACCAAATAATTTTTTCCCATAAAATAAAATTTCCTGCTGGTACTTTAGTTTTTATTATATGCTATTGTACTATTATTTTTTCAATAAGTTATTTAATAATTTGTGTTAGTCTTTAACTGCACAGTATATTAATATCTTTTAATAAACACATACTTTTTGAGTTTCATCCACTGAATTCTGGTTATTTAATTGTTTAATTTTCTCCAGATTTTGTAAAATATTTTCTTCTGATAATGTTTTGCTGATATTTTTAACAGAAGTCCAATTTTTTTTCTTTTTAAGCTTTTGCAAGGTAGATTTTTTCGCCTCTTAAAACAATAATAATAATAATAATAATCATTTATAATTTCATTTAATTTTTATGACAGAAAAAAGGTAATGAATCAAAATTCTTTTTGTTTAAGAAATTATAGTTCTCAGTTAAATGCATTTGAAAAAATACATTATGAGAAACGTATATAAAAAAAAATTAATTTTACAGCATGCCTAAAATTACACATTTAAAGAGAATGATGAACTGCTAGGCTTTTATCTGATTTTTGTCAAATGTCAAAGCCTATAGAAAATAAAAAAAAAAAATTATTTAGAAAATAGGTCACTCACTCTTGATAGGATTGCTGTCTTCAAAAAGTTTTGAGCTTTTCTGCAGTAAAAATTTTGACATTGCTTTTACAATGATATTTGTTGTCAATGTGGGAATTTTTGTACTCTCATAATATTATGTTGGCAGACATGCGAATGAATAACTTTGGATTGAAGTAAAAAAAAAAAAAAATTTTTTTTTTTTTTTTTTTTTTTTAAAACTTTAAAAAAATTCAAATGGCATATTTAAATATTACAAAAAAAAATCAAAAAAAAAAGAAATTTTTTTTTGTTATTTTTAAAATATCTTATGGAGTAAAAAAATTAAAAGAAACAACAGAAAAATAAACGACAAAAATTAAACAAAATTTTTTTTTTATATACAGCAAATGATTACTCATCTCAATACACTAAATTTTTATTATAAATATATAAAATTAAATTAATGTAATCGTTGATTGGTTTTATGAAAGATTATAAAAATTTTAATTTTTGTTTTTTCAAAAGACTACAAAACGACGGCTAAAAAACTTTTGATAAGTAATCGCCTTGAAATTTTGTATTACAAAAAAAAAAAAAAAAAATTAAAAAGATATCAAGCAAAAGGTTAAAAAATTTTGTAAGCAAACCTAAATATTCCAAACTAAAATAATACTATTACATTTAATAATTTTGATTTTTTTTTTTTTTAAAATATACATAATAACATACTTAATAAAAGAATATAATAGACAGAAGTATGAAACTTGGACGAGTTGAAAGGAAATATTAAGTTGGTATGACTGAGTATAGTAGGTTTTAGTATTATTTAGAAACCTACTTTGTCAAATAACGTATGGAATATTAATTGTTATAATGTATTATGTTATTTGAATAAAATAAACGTAACAAATCAATTAATAAAAAAATAAATAAATAAATAAATAACAATTAATGAATTAAAATATTTCAACTATTCAAAAATAGGTATGTTATTTTAACCTAACCTTATTATTTAAAATTTGTCCACCTGTTTCTCTCGTGTTCACCAAAAAAATATTTGATAATTATTAATATATGATATTTAAATTCAATTTTTACTGTTTTATATAATAATAATAAAATAAATTATTGTATTAAATTTCCGAATTTATTCTCTAGAATTTTTTTTTTTTTTTTTTTTGGTAAATATATTATTATTTTAGAAAGTTATAAATTTAAGTATTGTATTTTAATCATTTTAAATTCATATGTTTAACATATTACTTTAATTTACTTGTAGCCATGTCGAGAAGAAAGGGAAATGAAGAAACTGATAAACTTACAAGAATAGCAATTGTTAATTCAGACAAATGCAAGCCAAAGAGATGCAAGCAAGAATGCAAAAAATCATGCCCTGTTGTAAGAATGGGAAAACTTTGTATTGAAGTTGTTCCCAATGATAAAATTGCTACCATTTCAGAAGAACTTTGTATCGGATGTGGTATTTGTGTTAAGGTATGAAAGAAACTTTTTTAAAAATATTATCATCTAAGGAATAATTAATTATTAATGTTATTAAAAATTTTTTTTAGAAATGTCCATTTGAAGCAATTACTATTATCAATTTGCCGAGCAATTTGGAAAAGGATACTACTCATCGTTATTCTCAAAATTCATTTAAGCTTCATCGTTTACCCATACCTAGACCTGGTGAAGTACTTGGACTTGTTGGAACTAATGGTATTGGAAAATCCACTGCTCTTAAGATTTTAGCTGGGAAACAAAAACCCAATCTCGGGAGGTATTCTGTAGGTTTTTTTTTTTTTTTTTTTTTTTTTTTTTCTATAAATTTTTTATGACTCTAAATAACGGATAAGAAGTTAAAAGAGGTATTAAAATAAAAAATTAATTCATAATAGGAACCTCCAGACTGGACTGAAATATTAAGTCATTTTCGCGGTTCTGAACTTCAAAATTATTTTACTAAAATATTAGAAGATGATTTAAAGGCCTTGATTAAACCTCAATATGTTGATCAAATACCTAAAGCGGTTAAAGGAACAGTTCAACAACTTTTAGATAAAAAAGATGAAAGAAAAAATCAGGCAGATATTTGCAAACGATTAGGTAATTATAAAAAGTAAATTAATATTACTAATAATAATAATAATAATAATAATAATAATAATAATAAATTTGAATGTAATGCTGGAATTACATAAATTATATAATTTTTTTTTTTTTGTTGTAAAGAATTAGAAAATATTCGGGATAGATCTATTGATGCCTTATCAGGCGGTGAACTACAAAGGTTTGCTTGCGCTATGGTTTGCATTCAAGATGGCGACATATTTATGTTTGACGAACCTTCATCGTATTTAGATGTAAAACAACGTTTAAAAGCTGCCATTACAATAAGATCACTTATACATCCTGATAAGTAAGTTTAATTTTACTTTCTTTTTTTTTTTTTACATTTGCAAAAATGTTAATATTAATTAATTGCTTACTTACCTTTTAGATTCATAATAGTTGTAGAACATGATTTATCAGTATTAGACTATCTTTCTGATTTTATTTGTTGTTTGTATGGTGTCCCAGGTGCATATGGAGTCGTTACGATGCCTTTTTCTGTAAGAGAAGGTAAGTAAAATTCAATCATGAGTAGATTGTACCTTACATATATATATATAAAAACAAACGTACCTGGATTATCAATAGCATTAATTACAATAATGTTTTCATTCAAGGTATTAACATATTCTTAGACGGTTTTGTACCGACGGAAAATTTGAGATTTAGAGAAGAGTCGTTGGTTTTCAAAGTTGCCGAATCAGCAGCCGAAGAAGAGGTTAAACGTATGAATCATTATGATTATCCGGCAATGACTAAAACGATGGGTTCTTTTAAAATGCAAGTTCATAAAGGAGAATTTTCCGATTCGGAAGTACGATGAGTTTGAGTAAAAAAAATTTAGAAATACTTTTAAAAAATTATGTAAAATTAAATAAAACTGGATTTTTTTTCAAGATATTGGTTTTGCTCGGAGAAAACGGAACGGGAAAAACTACTTTCATAAGAATGTTGGCGGGAAAATTGGAACCCGACGATGGTTCCGGTGACATTCCCAAGCTCAACATAAGTTACAAACCTCAAAAAATTAGTCCTAAATCTCAAGGTATCGTCAGACAGTTGTTACATGAAAAAATTCGAGATGCCTACGTTCACCCTCAGGTACTACACATTCCCTAATTTTTTAATTCGGGATAAAATTTAAAAAAAATTTTTTTAATTGTAATTTTTTGTTGTTATACTTACTAGTTTATAACGGACGTTATGAAACCTCTTCGAATCGATGAAATAATGGATCAGGAAGTTCAAAATTTATCAGGAGGAGAATTGCAAAGGGTAGCCATGGCTTTATGCTTGGGTAAACCGGCAGACGTTTATTTAATCGACGAACCCTCGGCGTACCTGGATTCCGAACAGCGTTTGGTTGCAGCTAAAGTTATAAAAAGGTAAAATATTCTCATTAGTTTTTTCCTTTATTTTACTAAAATGACTATTATAAAAACTAAATTTTTTTTGTTTTAGATTTATTTTACATGCTAAAAAAACTGGATTCGTCGTCGAACACGATTTCATAATGGCGACTTATTTAGCGGATAGAGTTATAGTATTCGAAGGAGAAGCTTCGGTTAGCACGGTCGCTCACACTCCTCAATCACTTTTGGCTGGAATGAATCGATTTTTGGAATTGTTAGGTATAACTTTCCGACGTGATCCTAATAATTTCCGGCCGAGAATTAACAAGGATAAATCTGTAAAGGTATTATTATTATTATTATTATTACTTTTTTTTTTTTTTTTTTTCTAAAACAAAATTTACCTATAATTTTGTTTACCTTAAAATATTTTATTCCAATTTTTGCTTTTTTTCCGGATAGGATACGGAGCAAAAACGTGCCGGCCAATATTTTTTCCTTGAAGATTAAAGAAGATTGATTGATTGATTGATTGATTTCTGTTCAGGTTTCGCCTCTTGACAAAATATTATTTAACCAATAGCAATTTGTAATAAAAAAAAAAAAAATTTCATACAGTCAACTTCATATGTTTTGTTTTTCTTTCTAATTTTCTTCTACAACAACAACAACAGATTTATAATTATTTGCCAGGTGTGTGTGTGCGCGCGTGTGTGAAAAGCTTTAATTTAGGGTAAAAAGTTTTTATTAAGTCAAGGGTAAAATAAAATTACTTGTAACAGAATAAACGGAAAAAAAAAAAAAAAAAAAAAAGAAAATAATAATTTTTTTTAACCTTTTTTAAAATTTCTTCCCATATTTTGTTCCCGTTTGAAACTCCATTAATAAAAATAAACTAATTTATTAAAACAGAGAGAAATGGAAAATTCTGTGTAAAATTTGAAATTTTTTTTTTTTTTAACAATTAACAAACTATTAAATATATATATTTTTTTTTAACATTTAACAAATATGAAATTATTATTAATAATATATAAATCACCAAAAAATTTAAATAATTTACAGTTTTACAATTAATTGTGTTATTTTTTAAATAAAATTTAATTAGGGAGAAATATATATATATAAAGAAAATGGTTTCTAATCCTGATAAAAATAAAATTAGAAAACCAAAGAAAAGTTAAACCAAAGGATCTGATGAAAATTCAGCTTCGGATTTTCTATGTCTTATATCGGTCCAGAGTCGTATTGGTGAGTTGGCTTGTGCTCCAACACATCGGGGTAAAGTTTCAACGGATAAACTTATGGATTCATCTGTTATTGCATTTCCTTTGAGACGTCTTTGAGCCGCGACGGTAGCTCTGAGTGTTTTTCTTTTCTGCGCGTCAACGGTAAACAATTAGTTTCACGATACACCGACATTTTGCCCTATAAAAATTGTCTTTACCTCAATAGCTCCTCGCCATTTGTCAGCCGCGTGACGAGCCAATTCCAATCGTTTTTGTTTTTTTATCTGATGTTTTTTATAAGCCATTTCGATAATTATTAAACCGATTCCTCCTACTATCCCAGCACCGACCAGTATAAATACTCCTGCCATATTTTTAAGACCTAAAGTATTTGGAGTTTTTTCATTTTGTTCGCAATGCTGAATACTTCCCTGCAGTATCCACCTATTGTCTAAACTTTCCATGAAACCACCTTGACGATAAAAATAAATTGCTTTTCTTAATTTTAAATAAATTTGTAAAAAAAAAAAAAAAAAAAAATTTTAACATACTTTCGTGAAAATCTAAAATAGCCAATGTTACAGCATCAGCCCAGGGTGAACCTTTTTGCAAACCTATTCCGTATCCGGATCTTCCGAATAATTCGCCGGCCGTGACCAATTCACAATCTTGTGCAGCTTCATATTCTAATCTTGAACTATCCCAAATAAACGCCATTAATTTTCTGTTAAAAAATAAATAAATAACATTAAAATTTTTACAAAATTCAAATGCGACATAAAAAAGGAAGCAATACCCATTTTTGACATCATTTATTGCTTCTTCCGCGGTATCGTAATTATTTGCTTCCATCGTTCTGTACATATTACTTAGTTCTACTTGTCTTCGAAAGTACATATCAACTGCTGAGCCTTTGACTGTGGCGCAAGTCAAATTTTCCATTGTGTTCCGGAGCTAAAAATTATTTAAATATTTCCAATTTAAGTTAAATCAATGTTAGGACCAACATTTAAATTATCAAGACTCACCCTTGCATCATTAATACCGCTTAATTTTGTTTTTGGCCTCTCCAAAACCAAAAAGGCAGCCAAGTTGGCAGTGTACGAAGCAACAATAATCATTGCGAATCCAGCCCAAACCATGCCGAGCACTCTCGCGGAAAAACTTCTGGGAGTACCTTAAATATTTTTATAGAAATTAATTTCTAAAAAACTTGATAGTAATTAAAAATTAAAAAATTTTTACCTTCGCCGATTCCGCTGTTGAGAAGAACTCCCCATGCAAACCAAATAGCACTTGATAAATTTAATGCGTCTTCTTCGGTTCCTTCGGCGTTGCCAATTTTAAATCGTCCGAATGGAGAAAACCTATCCAGAAGGTAAAGAACTAATGCTACGACGTGAACCGAAACCATAACTAAAATCCACAGCGTATTACTAAAGGGTTGCAAAAATGAGACCAAAGTTGATGATCGAGAAGGCTGAAATGATAATTATATTCATCGAAAGTAATAATAAAATTAATAAAGAAAAGAGGATTTTTTAAAAAAATTTATACTTTTTTCTCGAGTATTGTGATTCCCTGATACTTAAACGGTTTGCTAAACTCGATAAATTCGGCTCTCTCGGGATTTATTGTTAAAGGTGCCACAATCATATCCGCTCGTTCCGTAACCAGTTCTCCAATCAAACCTGTCCATTCTTTTTTATTTCCAGCTGAAAAAAATTACATTTAGCACGTATTATCATTATCAGTGATTACATGTAATAACTTACAAGTACTATTTCGAACGACGTAGCTTCCAAACTGTCCATCTGGAGATAATGCTAAAGAATATGTAAAGTTAACGATTTTAGACAGTTCCATCAATAAATCCATGCAAAATCCTCTACAACATCGAAGCTGATAATCTAATGTGAAAACAAAATCAGAGATATAATAAATAAATTAATTTTGTACGAATGTTTGTTAAAAACAATGGCGATTTTCCCTTACCATCTTCCGTGGCATTAAAAAATGGACATGGAATTTCATTTTTATCACATTTGTCTTCGGGTTCTTTAATTGTTCTGACGTATACAAAAGGTTTTTCTTCAATCGTTAACACTTTTAAATGAGTTGGAATCATGAAACCTTCCGGTTTAACTTTTTGAAGACCAGGCCAAATTATAGCCGACTCATCAATAATGAGTTTCATTTTATTTTGATCCTGAAAATTAAATTTTAACGAGTTTATTATATTTTATAATTTATTATCGGTTATTTTACGAAAAAAAACTTACGGCTGCATGAAAATATTTTCCAACGGGAGCTTTATTTCTATTTTCAATAATGTTTATGACATCGTATTCGGCAAATATTCTATCACCATTATCATCAAATGCGACTTTCCCTGTAGATCCATTAAGAAGTTCTTGCTTTCTTATATATCTAAAAAATGAAATAATTTATGTTGTTCGGTCGATAAAATCTAATACTTCTTTACACAATTTATATTTAAGTAGTTTAAGATTCATCTTTCATCAAAAAAAATAAATTGATTACTCAAATAATAATTTTCCTGTTTCCCAAACGGTACCAGTATCGTCACAATCTTTTGGAGCTTCTGTTATAACTTCAACTTCATTCATATCTCGTATGGCAGCAGCTAATATGTAACTAAAAAAATAAATACATCTTTATTTATAAAAAAAAAAATCATCTTATTTTTATCGCCATTTGAAAAAAAAAAAAAAAAAAAAAAAAAAAGTTTTAACTTACATACTATCTTGTATATGAGCTTTCTCGTCGGTTGCATTAACTAAACGCAATCCAATCGAACCTTCTGGAACATTTTTTGCATCTAATACTTGTTCCGTTACAATCCAAACATAACCGGCTTCAGTCATATTAAGTCGTTCGGCATCTCTGAATATGATTTCCGCGTCTTCTTTACTGCAAAATTTCATTTATTTTTTAGAAAATGATTCGGTACAAATAATAATATGATTACTACTTACTTGGCATACATAAGATACACTCTTGCTTGAGCGGCGGCCATTTCGTTTAACTCATCAACAAAACTTTCCAGTCCGGCTTCAAATTCTATAACGGATTCAACCTTAAAAAAAAAAAAACAAAATTATTTTTTTGTCGGTTTATTTAAATAATTTCGTTTCGTTTTTTTTTTTTTACTTACAGATACTTTAATTTCAACATCATCTTCCAAACTTTGAGATGTGGTTTGAAATCTTCCCAACAATGCTCTTCCATCAGTATCAGAGCTGTGTATAAAAATAACTTTCATGTAATTTAAATGTTTCAGCAATTCAACCCAAACATCGGCTTGATGTGAATAAGGAGGAACCGTTCTTAAAAACGAAACGTGAATATTCTAAAAATAAAAATAAAAAACTGCTGTAGTGATTGGTTTGTTAATGATGATTTCAATTTAACAATATATACTTTATCAGAAAAAGCAGAATCTCTTGAGGAAATTCCTATAACTGGAATATGATAGAAACCACTAGTGTAAGAAACAGCAGCTGGAGATAAATCTCCGGTCAGAGGATGAGATACCACAACAGCATATACCTAAATAACAAAGATTTTGGGTAGATTAAAGAATAATAATAATTTTTATTCATATTGAAATTAAACTTAAAACAAAATTACTTACTTGTTCCCGAATAAGAAATTTACAAACACTTAAAGCCGTTCTAATTGGATTTCTATCAATTTGAAATGTGGTATAATAAAAAGTTCGACCTTTTGGAACGTAAGCACTTTCAAAATTTAAATTCTAAAAAAAAAAAAATTAAAAGTTAACAATTGAAGAAACATTGATAAAAAATTGGGCGGGATTATAAAAAGACGACGTTAGACGTTACAATTGTTTGTAGATAATTTTTAAACGAATCGCATATATTAAAAAAAAACAAAATGGAAGTATGATTAAATTACTAACGGATATAATATTTTGAAAATAAGCTTCGCTTTGATTACTGCTTAAAACTCCACCAATTTTATAATAAGTTGGATTTTGTGATCTATCACCAACGTCTTCGCGAGACAACGCATTCGAACAAAATATACATATTAAAATATTTATTTTCCATAATTTAATTTCTAAATTCATTTTACGTTATTTTCGAAATAAATTTTTATGAAAACTACTTGAGATGAAAAGATGTTTGATTTTTACGGAAACTGGAACAGAATCAAATCGATTTCCAGAAACTTCCAAAGCGCATGCTTTAACTTTCGTAAAAATCACGTGTTAAAAAAACGGTTAAAACGAAAAAAAAATCCAACGGTTTTCGATAATTATCATTTCAAAATGGAGTCTGTAAATTTAAAATAAAATATTTTAGACATATAAATTCAAAATATGAATATCTTAAAATAAAATAAATGACAAAATATTACAAAATGACGATTCCAATGGGAAAAAAAATGCTCAAGGACTCCGAAACGTACATTTAATGTCGTTTTTAAAAAAAAAAAAGGAATAAATATATACCTACGAAAAAATTAATAAATTTATTAAGAGTTTTATTTTGTAACAATTTCACTAAGTAACAATCGTGAACACTAAGTGAAATACCAAAATTTTTTTGGCATTTGAGTGAGAAATCCGCGGTAAAATGCATTTCCACCATATATATTATGTTTAATCATTATTGTACAAATTTTAATAGGCATGTCTTTACAATTCACTAATAAAACTTTATCTGTTTTGTTATACATAACGGTTCCCGGAGTTTTTGATTTGTTAATAATTTCACAGTGAAAATTTTCATCCCAATTTACTAAAGACATACATAATAATTTAATTTTTATTCCTTTCCAAGTAGTATGTAAAATATATTTACCAAATAAAGCTCTGTATAAATTGTATACATTTACTGCATTCGATTCACTCCATTTTACAACAGATATTTCTTTGCCAAACTTTTTAGCTGAAACACATTATTATTATTGAAAGAAAAAACCTTTTTTTAAACAAATTAATGTAAGGAAATTTTAATTGTATAAATATGAATATGTACCATAAGAGATTTCATCGTTTTCTTGCGATTCACAATGTTCCAAACATTCTGGCATTTTTTGTATTACTTCAATAAGGCATTCACTTCCTAATTGGCAGAGTCTATTATATAATGATGGAAATAATTCAGTTTTTCCTGAAAAAAGAATTTCAAGTAAAATTACATTAAGAGTTACATTCTTAAGAATAATAATAAGTTTTAAATTTACATGTTCGAAAATCTAATATTTACGACAAGACGACAAGTTCCATTAAAATTTTATATAATATAAATTATATTGTTTACCTATTGTACAAGACTTTTTTAAAACTATGTCTCCTACATCAAATTTTTCTGGTTTTATTTTCTGTATTGTTATGCCAGTAACATTGTCACCATTCATAATAGAATAAACTATGGGCATTGCACCTCTCCATTTTGGAAGTAAACTAGCATGGACATTTATAATTCCACTAAAACAATAATTAAAAGATTTTTCCTGTAGAAAATTAAAACTTAAAATTGTTAAAAATATCAACACAGGTTTTGATTTTTTATTTTTATTTTTTATAATTGCATAAAATGAAATTAAACTTTCTTCAGCTTACTATTTAAACCTATGAATTATTTGTGCTGGTATTAATTTTCCAAACGATGCGACAACTCCTAAATCGAAAGATTCATTTAAATTAGGAGGCCAAAATTGTACTTTGACATTATTAGATATTGAAAATTTGTACAAAAGATTTTCCTTATTGGAAGTTACCACTTCTACATTATTAATCATGACTTCATTACTGCAAAAAAAAAAATAAGTAATTTAATATAATTAATTGGAATTTTCGGAAAAAAATCTATTTACTGCATATTTTAAATAATAATATATATATATATAAAAATGCAATTTAATTTGATTTTTTTACTTGAAAAAAATTTTTTTTTTAAATGATAAGGACCACAATTAAATAACAATTCTAATTTATTTAATTCATGAAGCAAACAACATTATGATAAAATATTTTTTAAAATTAATTAATATATATATTAAATTTATAACGTCATTGTGAATTATTAAAAGGTTGAATAATACACTAACCTTTTATCAAGAAGAGCCTTCAAACAAGCAATTGAAAAATTATCACTACCAAAAAAGACTATGTTCCAAGATTTGAAATTTGAAATATTAATATTGTAAAATACTGCATTTTGTGCCGATTTTCTATTACTATTCAATTTTATATTAAAATATTTTAATTTTCTTAATGAGAACATATATAATTAATTCATGAATATTAATATTTTAATTTAAAAATTATTTATTTGAAAATATATATGTTAATAAAGTTAGGTTAAAAAACCGTTGTAAACGAATTTCAAGAAAAATTTGTTTTTTTAAATTATAATGATGCGATGGAAAAAACTGATTTACATTTCAATCGATTTATTTTGTAAACTAAACAATTTAGTCATTGACAAAAATTATTAAAAGAAAAAATATAGATTTTAATTTTATAAAGTGTGTAAAGCCTAAGAAGTGCAGCCAGTGACGTCATTAAATTTTTAAAAATATAAGTAACTGCTCGAAGTGACATATTTGTAATATTTTTCATATTTTATTAATTCAGAATGTTATCTGTTGCTTACGAATAAACAATTTACAGGGCTTTATAAGTTTACTATTTAAATTTTGAGCCTGATTGATTTAAAATTAGTTAAAAACCTTTTCGTAGCATATGTTTTAACGAAATCGTACAACACATTAAAAGCATATGATTTAATATGGATGTTATAATTTTGCTTTTTATAGCTGCTATCATTATAACAGCAGTGTTTTTTTTAACTATTTTTCGTAACAAGAGTTTAAATAGTAAGTTTTACATTTCGGCAATTTTTATTATTAATTATTATTGATATACTGGTCTTAGGATTTTATATCATTGATCAAAAATAAATCTTACTAATAAAAGATGCAATACAATGAAATGAATTTTAAAAAAATATTATACAAAGGTTATTAATTTTCAGAAAATGTTAGCAATGAAAATACTACTTCAAGTGAAAATGCAGGACAGCCAAATACCAGAAGAAGAGCATTGGCTGCTGCACGTCATGCCAGAACCAGACAAAGAATCGAGGAAGATGTAGAAGATGAAGATGATAATGATACTGAAACTCCAGCAATGAATGTGCCTGATGCAAAAATTGGAACTAAAAAACTGGCCAAGTTGCAAGCTAAAGCTGAAAAAAAAGCTCAAAGAGAGGTTAATATTCATAAATATTCAATACTTGGCAATTTTTCCTATAATTATTAATTAATGTTTGTTTTTACTAAGGCTGAAGAAAAAATTCGACAAGAAAAAAAGAAAGCACAAGAACTTGCAGATGAAGAAAGAAAAAAGAAAGAATTGGCACAACAAGAAGAAGAAAGAAAAAAAGAAGAAGCAGAAAAAAGACTTAGGGAAGAAAAAGAAAGAAAAGAACATGAGGAATATTTGAAATTAAAAGAAGCTTTTTCAGTACAAGAAGAAGGTTTCGAAGAAACAGAAGATAATGAAAATCTTCTACAAGATTTTGTTAATTACATAAAAGTAAAATTTTTATTTTTATAATTATTTTTATTACTATTTTATATTCAGTTTTATTACTCTATGTTATTAAAATTTTTATTTTAGCAAAACAAAATAGTTATCCTTGAAGATATTGCTGCTCAATTTAAATTAAAAACTCAGGATGCAATAAACAGAATTAACGATTTGCAAAGTGAAGGTCAACTAACAGGAGTTATTGATGACAGAGGAAAATTTATTTATATATCGCAGGAAGAATTAGATGCAGTAGCTAAGTTTGTTAAACAAAGAGGAAGAGTTTCTATTTCAGAGCTTGTTGAAAACAGTAATAGACTTATAAATTTATCACCAGTAGGATGTTCCTGAAATCCCACATAACCATGTACATAAATAAAATTAATTTTTAAAAAAATTCATCGTATAAATAATAATTTCATATTAAAATTTCCTTTTAAATAAAATTATTATTACAAATTTTAACTGTCAATGTGTTTTTATTTAAGAAACATTTTGATAAATATTAATTTTAAAGTTAGCTGTCCATACTTTCATCCGAACTAGTTTCATCGGGGAGATTAACTTCCTCTTCACATTTATGACATTTACATGTAAATAAATAATTTTCCCTGAAAAAATTTTAATTATACTTTACTTTTAAAAAAAAGTTAAAAAAAAGGGAATAAAAGGAAAACAGATTCGACTTACTGCAAAATTTTTTGTCTGGAATGACGACTTCTTGATAAACTACACATATCTAAATAACTAATACATATTTCATCACCAGGATTAATATTATCAGTCGCAACAACTGCTAATTGATAGTTAGAATGTGGAAATGTTACTTCTGCATTCGGACTACAACTGTGGTTAATTGTACTTTGAAGTTCATAAAGCCCTGATCCTTCATTATTTAAAAAATCTCCAACACCTAAAAGTATGAATTTTACATTTTTAAATAAAAATATATTTAATGCTTTTGTTTCTTTATATTATTACCTTTCCTTTTGTAAAATTTTATAATATTCTTTTTAATTTTGAGGAAGTTAACCTTTGAACTTTAAAAAAATAATATACCTTTCTCGAAATTTTCATAAACTGCATCAATATAATTATCTATCAATTGTTTTTCTTTTAGGGGAAGCTCAGCTTTTGAAACATTTTTCACCCATTCACTAAAAGAACTTGTTCCAATCCCTTGACCATTCATTCCGACTAAAACTAAAAGTTGTGAAAAACCTTCTGGAGTAATCCACTACAATATACCATTTAAAAAAAAAAAATTAATTTTACCTAATTTAAAAAAAAAAAAAAAATTATTTTATAAGAAAAATTATGTACAACCTCTTCAGCATGTTCAGTGGGTACTGAAGCTTTAATTAACTGTCTAAGAGTTTCTACTTGATCGGAAAATTTTATTCCCAAAAGTTTGTGTGTTATATTTTCATTTTTATTCGATGTTTCATGACAAAACTAAAATTTGAAGATAATAAAAGACAATTAAGAATGTTAATGACATTATTATAGAAAAATAAATAAAAAAACTCTACGTGTTTATTATGCTTTTTATAACTTCCTTATTCTCATATTGATGAATGATAGCAAAAATTTTTACAAAAATTAAAGCTGTCGTTGATGCGGGAGGAAAATGCATTTGCATAAATTTATATTTAAGATGAATTGTTATTTTTAACTCATGAAATAAGTTAGAATTTTAGTAATTTAAAACATAAATTTAAAAAACACTTACTTCCAAGCTTCCTTTAATTGTTCTAAAGGATGAGTGTTGTCTCGATGAAGTTTTTGCAAACACAAAGTTCTGTGATATTTATTCCAAGCTATTTGTAGACATTCCATACAGCAGTACTTAACCTGAAACAAAAAAAATTTTCACAAACAATTATTAATTAATAATAAAAGTACCACATGGTTTTTTTAGAGGGAATTACATAAGTTTGAAAATTTCGAATAAAACTCCTACTTACCCCACAACCGATACAACTGATTTGTGTTTCCTTTTTAACACTACATAATTCTGGATAAGGTATTTCAGTAAATTCATTCAAAGTAAGACGTTTAACATTTTCCAATGCAGTTTCTAATGGCCTGTAAAAATAAAAAAAAAAATGAAATATAAAAAATTTCATCTTTATGTTAATAAAGTAAACTTTTCAAAACGCTTTTTGTTGTAATTGACAGCTTTTAAATTCAATTACCTTAAACATAATTCGCAAGCCTGATATCCATAATCTTCATTCCATGCAAACTGACAGCTTACAATAGGTATTTCTTCAAATATAACATCTCCTTCTTTCAAAAAGCAAGTGGCAAATAATCCACGACCCTATTTATTATACATATATAAAATTAATGAATTTAACTGGATAATGTAAAAATTCTTACTAATGGCTTTATGCTTAACCTTTTCTTCTGTCGTGCGAACTTCGAATTTCACTTCACTCATATTGATATCGATAGAAAATTTACCAATTTAATATTTAAAAATGAATTATATACAATGTACTTCCGGTGTTGATGTTTTTAATAATGTCTTCCCAATTTCGTAAGTTATGCTCGTTAATTTTATTAGAGAATTTTGGGGAGACAGTAGAAAAGGTCGGAATTGATTTATTTAAATGCGGTTCTAAACCGTTAAAACTAATTTGTAATTCGACAAATTTGTCGGCAAACGAAGTAAATTATTTTTTCAAAAAAAATTTATTTAATTTTAACCTAACCTTATTAACAAACTATCATAACAAGTATGTTATTTATTTTAGGTGTCTCAGTCACTTGTATTATTAATTAATTTTGGAATTGTTTCTTTTAATTCATCGAAACTCTCATACGTTGCTGATTACAAATTAAATCCGGAAAAAATTTTGTTAATACTTCGTTATCCCAAGTAAGTAACATTTAGAAATTAAATCAAAATCAAAAAAAAAATTATTAAATTTTAAAAATCTTTAAGGTATCTGATGTTAATGAAAACTTTGTATGGCAATGAAGCAGAAATTATTGTGGAAGAAATATTAAAACATGGTAGAGATACTGCATCCTGTATTTTATTGAGATCAGTGAAAAGATTGTCGAATGTAGATTCCGATAAAGATGAAGCTATAAAAATTCAAAGGTAACGAATATACAGTGTAATTTTTTTTTCTTTATTATCATTTATTTAGGTTTTTTTTTTAATGTTAATTATTACTTTCTGGATTAATAAAATCAAACATATACTTCAAATAATTCATTAAGATTTTCGGTTTTAGAGTTAGAGATATATTTGAAATGTTAATAAATAAACAATACATCAAGAGCTCTCCTAAGGTTGTTAAAAAGAAAAACATACCTGAATTGACTGAAGACCCGATGAGTATGTTCAACCACCTTTTATAGATATGCCTAAATTGTGTGAAGCTTATTCAAAAGGTGAACTTCTACCTAATAATGATTCATTTTGGGAAATAAATTTTGATAGATTCCATCAAGATATGAGGTAATAAGATTCAGAAAGTAGAGTATTAATTATTCTTTTTTTTTAAATGTAATAATTTAATTTAATTATTGTAGGGATGATCTTTTGGTACTTTCAATGACAAGAAAAATAAATTCTCTTGGAGGAGAAATAATGAAATTAATTTTACAACAAATGTACTTACAAAGTAATCCTACTGCAGCTATATCTAATCCATTACTAGTCTCAGAACTTAAAAATGTTTGCTCCAGGTCAATGACAAACAAAAATGCAACACAACATTTAGAAGACTATTTGGATATAATGAGTATTCTCTTGTGAATAGCAAATTTTTTAATGCTAAAAAAATACAATGACACTAGATCTAAAATTATTTTATTTTATTGTAGCCGAAGATTATGGTGGATTTTTAAGAAAGTCACCTTCCATGTCTTCA